GGAGCTCAATTGTTACGAGCTAGTTAATTGCTATGTCCAGTCTTTTCACAAATTCAAGGTTTTTGCAACTACGTTGGAAGATTGTAGAACAACATTTGTAAAATTAGGATAGTTACTTAAATTCTCGCCAACTGACTATGAGCCTCTGCCCCCTTCACTCCCTGAAGTGTAACTGTCTCCAAGCACATGCCTAAAACGTCTCTTGTATCACGAGGGTCAATGATTCCATCATCAATAAGCATCGAGCTAGTTGAATAACACTCCGCATCCCGCTGAACTCGCTCTCTGAACTCCTGCACTTGCTTCTTCAGCTTTTCGGGGGATAGATTAATGCCCTTAGCCTTAGCACTTGCTTGCTGTACATTCTCCATAACACCCGATAGCTGGTCAGGACCCATAACACTACACCGACCGGTTGGCCATGTGAACAGGAAACGTGGTTTGTAGGATCGCCCACACATTGCATAGTTTCCAGCTCCGTAAGATGCACCCATAATTATGGATATATGTGGTACAGTCGAGCAGCTGACAGCTGAAACAAGTTGAGCGCCCATTTTGATAATACCGGCGTGCTCGGCTTTAGCGCCAACCATGAAGCCGGTGACGTTGTGAAGGAAAACGATAGGAGTATTTCTAGGTTGATCAGTTGCAGTCAATATTGATAAGAAGCATTGCCAAAATCCGTACTGTTGATTGCACATCCTGATGAACTGAGCAGCCTTTCCAGCTTCGTTCGGATTGATGACTGAAATCTGATTGGCCACGATGCCCACGGGGAAGCCTGATGTTTGTTAGCGATCGCTCTTTTCTCTTATCTGGACCTTTTTTCTTTTCATTCCAAAGCTCCTTCATTGATTTCTCACCCATGATATGAGCCCACGTAGTGATGATATTTGGACCGTATTTGGGCTTGAATACAGATAAGCGAGAATCGTCGACAATTCGCAGCAGAACCTCGCTCATATCAAAAGGCTTTCGGATATCCGGGTTGACAATTGACAACAGATCTTCGGCAGGATACCGAGGAGCAGTTGGCTCTATTATCCCTGCCCTAAACGGAGTCCGCATTTGAAGTGAGGCCACCCACTCGCGGGCCTTGTGGATAGCTTCGAATCTGGGCAATAAAGGTCAATATCAAATGTTGTCAGAGTGAAGGAGAATATAAACATACTCATCCGATGCAATTTGATCTGCCAACCCTGTGGTAACGGCATGAACCTTAGCACCACCTAACTCTTCCGCTCCGATAACCTCGCCCGTTGCCATTTTCACCAAGGGCGGACCACCAAGAAAGGCTTGCGCTTGGTTCTCGACAAAAATGGTATAGTCCGACAACGCCGGATGGTATGCACCACCTGCTGTGGATGAGCCAAATACAATAGCACATGACGGCTTTCCGTGCTGCGTGCGTACAGCAAGGTCTCGGAACAGCTGGCCTCCTTTGTGAAAGACTCGAAATTGCTGTGGCAGGAATACCCCGGCCTGTGCAATTGTGCCATTATTAATAAGAGCACATAATTGAGATAGAGTCCTTTACATACCGACTGAACGAGAGAAATGAGCGGCAGATCATTTTCGAATGCAATCTCCATCATGCGGTTCACTTTCAACACTGTATGGATGTTAAGCAATGACCTGTACTAATATGTGAACGGCGATCTTACCTGTCATCTCGTTCCAAGCACCTCCACTTTGAGTCGGAATATGGGACATGAGAAGACACGGTCGTCCACTATGATTGCTGGTTGTGAGAAAACAAAGTCAAAATCACAAGTCAATTTCCCCAACTCACCAAACATTCCCAATTCCCGAAATCAAATTGGCACATGGCGTTGAATCATTGTTTTCAAATCCAGCGAAGGCACCGAGTTCTAGAAATGGAGAGTCCTGGTCCAGTAATAGTGCAACTCGATCTCGCGCTGTGGTGAACCAGTCAGATCATCCATAAGGGGCAGACGTCAATGTACTTACGCAGCAGCTGGCCGCGGGTCTGATGTCTTTTCAGAGAGACTTCGTTTCCTTCGGCGGAGACTTGCTTCAATGCCTCCTCGAATCTTTTCAATACAGGCACCCAGCTATTTTTATTGGCTTGGAACAGTTCGCCCCGGAGGTCCAAGTTGGCTGTGAGCACTGGGAATGATGAGTCGGTCGGCATACTGAATAAAATTGAGAATAACTTAGGAAATATCTAAGAAGAGCGAAAGAATCATTTATTCCAGGGCTCTCACCATCCGTGTAAATTATGAGTCGTAGGTGCGGAGTGGGTAAAACATGACCGGTCCGAACCCCGGAAATCTCCCGAACTCAATGTCGCAGCCCCAAACGGTAAAGACCAGGTCTGGGGTATGACTTATTTGAATTAAAGAAGTAAAGCATTCTGTAACTGGAAGAATCACTCTGGTTTGTGTCGTCCGCATTCGAAATAGTCCTCAGTCCTGCATCTCTATGGTAAATTGGAATCCGCTACAATGAACCCCAATCCCAATATTTCCTTCGTCCAAGGCCTCAAGGAGCCCTCTCTGTGGCTCACAACTCTGGGCGCCTTCGTCGATGAGCAAGCTTCACACTTTGAAGACCGTCCAGCAGCCATCTTCCCATGGCAATCCGTCCGTCTCTCGTACCGACAGCTAGCAGATCGAAGCAAGATTCTTGCTAAGGCTATGCTGGAGATGGGTTTACGGAATGGAGACACTGTGGGAATCATGGCTGGGAATTGCTACGAGTATATTGAGGTATTTCTGGGCGGTAGCAGGATTGGGTGTCCTGTTGTGGTTTTGAACAATACCTATACGCCCGAGGAGTTGGTGAATGCTGTGAATAGGAGTTGTAAGTTCCATGTTCCCTTTTTTTTTTTTTTTTGCGTATTTTTGAAACCGGATGGACCAACTTACATGTTTGAAGCTTGCAAGTTGGTTTTCATGGCTTCCGATATTGGGACTCGAAGCTTGTCCAATCACATCAAGAATCTTCGCGAAGGACACTCGGAACCCCCTACACTACCGGACCTACGTCGCGTGGTGAACTTCGGAACGATGGGTATAGACGAAGCTGGGGTTGAAATGCAGACCTACAGCACATTTGTCTCTGGAGCCAATTCAGTCTTTATGACAGACTCGATGCTCAAACGCGCAGAAAGCTCCGTGAGTCCCGAGAACGTGTTAAATTTACAGTTCACTTCTGGTGAGACTTTTGAATACAACAATTTCCTAGACTCCGACTAAGTTGCTCCCTCATAGGAACCACCGGCTCCCCGAAAGCTGCCATGCTCACGCACGTGTAAGTTTGACGGCCCAGCGAGGACATACATGACAGTGTTGATTCTTGACCGACTAGAAACCTTTTGAACAACGGTAGATTCGTGGGTGACGCAATGCATCTTACCCCAGAGGATGTCATCTGCTGTCCACCTCCACTGTTCCACTGCTTCGGTCTCGTGTTAGGGTTCCTCTCCTCATTCACACATGGAAGCTCAATCGTCTTCCCATCTGACTTTTTCGACGTGAAAAAGGTCGTGGATGCAGTAATCAGCGAAGACGCAACAGTACTTTTGGGTGTTCCCACAATGTACGTTTCAGAGCTAGAAGTGATTTCAAAAACAGGACAGAAACCGCGTCGTCTAAGGACGGGTCTTGCATCTGGCTCTGCTGTGTCACAAGGCTTAATGCATGAGTTGAGAGAGAAGATGGGGGTTGAGAAGATGTTGATTGCGTATGGGATGACAGAGACGAGTCCGGTTACATTCATCACATCTATTGACGATGATGATGTGAAAAGGACTACAACTGTCGGGAGAGTTCTTCCTCACACAGCCGCAAAGGTCGTTGATAATGAAGGGAGGATTGTTGCTAGAGGTGAGAGGGGTGAGCTTTGTACTAGTGGGTTCGTTTTGCAGAAAGGGTACTGGGAAAACGAGGAAAAGACAAAAGAGGCTATGAGGCGGGATGAGAATGGTGTTTTGTGGATGCACACTGGTGATGAAGCCTTTCTTGATCAAGATGGCTACGCACATATTACTGGTCGTATCAAGGATCTTATCATTCGAGGTAAGACGTCGATAAATCCTGCTTATAGCTTCTTCGCTAACAAGACCCAGGCGGAGAAAATATCTTCCCGCGTGAGATCGAAGAACGACTCATGCTTCATCTTTCTATAAGTGAGGCTAGCGTTGTTGGCATTAAGGACGAGAAATATGGGGAAGTCGTCGGCGCCTTTTTGAAGGTCGTCGAAGGAGTCCCTAGAATTTCTGATGAGGAGGTGAAACAGTGGGTGAGTGAGAAGCTAGGTCGCCACAAAGCTCCTCAGTATACTTTTTGGATCGGGAAACAGGGTGTACGAGAAGATTTCCCAAAAACCGGGAGTGGAAAACATCAGAAGCACATTATGCGAGATATTGGAAACCGGTTGGTTGGAAGTAGAATTGTCAAGGCAAAGCTTTAGACGAAGGCTCTTCATTCAACGCTGCCCCGTCTACAGCCATTCGAATACAATTTGCTTTATTCATACATCCTGCCAGTTCGAAATTTCGGAGTAGACTCCAGTACGTGACCTTAAAAAAAGGCTTCGGGTATATCGAAACAGCCTCGTAGAACTCGTCTTCTAACCTATGATCAAGCCTGTCGATTTCTGTGGATATCTCATGTTGAATTCTAGCTAGTCGTTGACGCACAGGCTGATATTGGACACCTAGAGGTGACTATTTCCTGTATTCTTCTCAGTCTCCTCAATGCCAATCGGCCGAATCTTTCGGTCCCCTACCGGTCCGGTCCGGAGAATCGTAACGTAGTTTGGCTTCCCGCAATGTGGAGTGTGGAAGTTTGCGGGGAAACTCATCGGTCCGAAAGGACCAGGACCAGGGTTCCAACTGCGCTGTGTAGTATCACGTCAGCCTGAGTCAGATAACTTAGCCGAGGTCTACTAAATTATGTCAAAGCTATCTTTGAGTAAGAAAAAATTTCAAAGCGTACGAGATACAACAAACACCTCTCATACCGGCGTCCAACATGACCTTGCAGAGCACTCCTCCGACTGTCCGAATTGTGGAAGTAGGGCCAAGGGATGGACTGCAGAATATCCGCGAGCCCATTTCTACTCCCATTAAACTGGAATTGATTCGCCGGCTTGAAGAGACTGGTCTTGATACCATTGAGTTGACATCGGTGGTTTCGCCTAAGGCTATTCCTCAATTGGCGGATTGTCGCGAAGTACTTGGGAGTCCTCAGGTAAAGCACCTGGTTAGCAAGTCTCACTTGAGGCTACCTGTTCTGGTGCCGAATGTGAAGGGGTTGAACATTGCTATTCAACATGGCGTGAAAGAAATCGCTGTCTTCATTAGTGCGACTGAAGGGTTCAGCAAGGCAAATATCAACTGCACTGTTGAACAGGCTATCGAAAGAGCGAGGCATGTAGCTTCGCTGGCGTTGAAATCCAACCTCTCTGTGAGAGGGTAAGTCAACTTATCTATCGTCTCCGTGCTCCCAATTTGACTAGAGACAGTTATGTATCTTGCATCTTCGCAGACCCATATGACGGTCCCACATCTCCAGCATCCGTCCTCCACTGTGTAAGAAAACTCCTTGACGCGGGATGCTACGAAGTCAGTCTGGGTGATACACTCGGCATCGGCTCACCAGCAAATGTCCGCAGCCTGATAAAATACCTGGTCCGCGAGGGCATCGCTCTTGACAAAATTGCGGGCCATTTCCACGATACATACGGGCAAGCAGTGGCAAATGTCTGGGAAGCATACAATTGCGGGCTTCGAGTCTTTGACAGCAGTGTCGCAGGTCTGGGTGGATGCCCATTCGCACCTGGTGCCAGTGGAAATGTCGCATCTGAGGACCTAGTATATATGTTCCACAATGCAGGGATCAGCACCGGTGTTGATCTACCGAAATTGGTCGAGACTGGGATCTGGATCTCAGAAACCATTTCAAAGCCCCATTCCAGTCGAGTCGGCACGGCACTCTCCATAAAGAGCAAAGCAGCCACATCGGCGGCTGCAAGTATGATAAAGAAATCATCGAAAGACGCCCCTCTCCAATGGAACATGTTCTCTGAAACTGAAGGGCTCCAGCTCTTCCGATCAGGGGTGAATCTAAAATTAGTCCTCAACCGTCCGAAAAACGGCAACGCTTTGACAGCATCGATGATCTCAGACCTCACATCCGCCATTACAGCCGCAAGTCAACATCCTCAAACATCACGAATAATAATAACAGCAGCGGGGAAATTCTTCTGCACGGGAATGGATCTCGGAAAGGAGAGTACACCCGTTGCACAGGGCGACGCCACAAGCAAGGCCCAATTCGAGAGACTGACGAGTTTATTCGAGGCTCTCGACCAGTCTCCCAAAGTAACTATCGCTTGTATGAATGGGCCTGCATTTGGTGGTGGTGTCGGGCTTGCCTTTGCCTGTGATATTCGACTAGCTGTGCGAAACGCGGCAGTAACATTGAGTGAGGCGAAATTGGGTCTTTGTCCAGCGACGATATCGAAGTATGTCATTCGAGAATGGGGTATTTCGTTTGCGCGCGAGGCGATGTTATCGGCACGTCCTGTTACTACTGACGAGTTGAAGACCAAGGGGCTTGTTTCTGATGTTGCTGATACTCCGGAGCAGCTGGGTACTCGGTTGGATGAGTTACTGGCGCAGTTAAAGGTTGCATCTCCTGATGCGTCGCGAATGTCAAAGGAGCTTGTGAGACTTGCGTGGGCTCATGCCGGTACTGAAAAGCAGGCGCATGGAATTCGGCGATTGTTTGAGGAGATGATGGGTGCTAATGCAGATGGAGCGTATGGGGTGAAAGAATTTCAGGCAGGGAGGAGGGTAGATTGGGATGCATTTACATTGGGGTTGTCGAAGCCCAAGTTGTAAGGATATAGTGTGAGTGATTGATTTGATGTTAGTGGGATTTCAACCAATACGAGGTATACGATATGGAATTACAAGACATAGTAAATATAGTGAAGCACCGTGTTCCCTAAAAAGGTAGCTTCTTCAATATGGCCTGCTGTACACTTTAGAAACACTCGATGAATCAATGAGATCTCATCTTAATCAAGTAAGACGAGTAGAGCGAAGACCATAGCGGAAAAGAAATGCAAATGCGCCGTGTGAACGAAAAAGGAGACGATCAGATAGTTAAAGCAAGAATGCCCGAGAATTTTACAGGAAAATGAAGTCAACACCGACCTGGAGACCAGCGGCGGCGTTGGTGCTAGTGCCGAAGGCGGAACTCCTGGTGAAAGTACCGGTAGCGTTGGAGCCGGAGCCGGAGCCGAAGCCAGCCTCAGCATTGCCGGAGGAGGCAGTACCAGCGGCCTGGCTACCCTCGCCGCTGAAACCAAACCCCTTGCCAGCATCCTGGGTCAGGTACTTCTTGTCAGGGATAGGGATGGTTGAATGACCATCGGGCCTAGCCATAGCGACAGTAGCGAGTCAACTCAAATAACAAGGTGGAGCTTAGGTATGGATCCGCCCAATCCGCCCTTACATATCGGTCTTTTTGTGACCGCATATTATTCATTTATGGTGCCTGGCTGTAACTCTCGGCTACTGTGGCAGCCCATGATCTTGCCGGAGGGGCCGTTGGAAGGGATTCGATTTGTGTCCGCAAAACGTGCACCTCTTCGTGGAGTTTCCCATTTTTACCATGTAGGACCTTCTGGTCATGTTTGACTTCGAGAAATTTGGTCTTGGTGGATTCAATGAGTGTAGTTTGATGGGCGATGATGTTTTTTCAGGGCATAAATGAGCTGTCGGACTTTCCGAGTGGTCACACGGCCTGGTGCCTTACGCAGGGAGTGTGGCATCACCACTTCGCGCATAGTTTTGTATGTGATCACGGATGTGTTGACCTTCACTCTGGGCCCAAAGTCCTAAACCGAAAAGCTGGTGGCTGTTTCTTGGGACTTAGTAGGAAGGGACTTGGGAGCGCCTCCAAGGGTCGGTCTGCCATTAGTCCGGGGTTAGTTCTCGCTCGGTACATAACCAGAATCGGCTACTTTGCCTTTACATTTCACCTGTGGATCAAGTCAGGTCAGGTATATGAATTCGTTATCACTATTCAAACACAATTTACGCATGTACGCTTTGTATCAATTCAAATCCGAAGCAGATAAATTGCATTCTCAAAATTGAAAGAGGACCTCAAATAGCACAGACTAAATTAGAATATTCCAGAGCTCTCAACAGGTGCTCAGACTCGTTTTTCCAGCTACTATAAGGACCAAAGAAAACGGAATTCAAGCTTGTCATCTGTTCCTATAAGTGTCCAAGAAGACACTCATCACACCCATGGCTTCCACTTGCTCTCTTCTGAATCCAGACGCTTCTTGCCACCTCAAACCCAGTTCCGGTTCCAGTTGCTCAGTTTCTTGATTAAAATCCATCGTAATAGCGAAAATTAGCCCGTGGATGCAGTATTCTCAAGGAACAGAGCTCAACCCTTCCGCCGAAACCCATCTAGACATCCCCTTCGGATGTTTTCTTATCACTGAAGCCCTTTATAATGGTGGACAAATCTCCCACAGGTAGCCGGAAGGGAAAGTCCTGCTAGCAGTATGAGGGAAAGGAATATGTACCAGCCCATAAGACTAACTGCCAGTAGCAAACCGGCGCCGACGTGCTGATAGGTGGCAGCAGCAGCAGCACGACCACTTGCCAGTGCAAAAAAAGCAGCTGCAAGGCAACAAACTGGGGTGAGTGCGTCAGTCGTGCTTTCTTTGTAAGATCAGAATGTTCTTTTACCTGATGGGGTTAGCGTCAGGAACACCATAAAAAAGACTAGATTTGTGCGGATGCTCGCGATAGTGAAGAAGGCTACAACGATGGCCAAGGTCACTAGGAAGAACCCAAAGGTAGCGAAGAAAGCAGGCTCAACGAGTCCTTCAGCTGGTACTTTGAGATCCGGAGAATACACGGCAGATGCTCCGGTGGTAGGATCGATTGCGGTACCAAACGCCAGCCAAAAGCCACCAAATAGGAAAAAAACAACGGCCGGGAAGGTATTCCCTGATAGGCGATCGAAATTAGCGACATGCAGACCTAGGATATGGTATATGAGCGAAGCTTACCTAAAATCCATTCCCCGATTGCTCCAAGAAACTGAGTAACTCCACCGACATACAGGTATGCTCCTCTAATCAATGGTCAGGATTGGACGTATATATGGAAACGTGAACCTACAGATTGGCGGCTCCAAGCCCGCCTGCACCTTGCCATCCAAGTAAGGTCATCGACAATGATGTCGAGCACATGAGAAAGCCTCCTAAAGCGATCGGTGTTGGGTTGCCAAATGTCTGCCGGAGATGACCTTTGACACGGTTCTGAGGGGCCAAATACAGCTGTTCAAACAGCTCCGCTGGTAATTGAACGCTCCCAGCAGTGCGCATCCGCTGGAGAAAGTCATTATTGTCCTCGATATATCCTTGCTCAGCGGCTTCCAAGGCTGACTTCTGATTTTGAGACATTATTGATGGTTATTGAGGGCGCGAAAGATTATGACGGATATTTAGTTGAGAGATGAAGGGCGCTGGAGGCTATCTTTAAAACATATATTGCAGCTTTGGCAAGAACGGTGGGCGTCCTTGTAGATCAGCTGTGGGTGCGGTATAGCCCCTGACCTTGACCCCAGATCCGGTCCGAAATCTGTGCGGGGGACCCGAAATGTGGGGGATCCCAAGTGCACAGATGAGCTCGGCCCAGACTTCAGAGCTTATATGACCCATTCTCGTGGCTACAACATATACATGCACGAGAAATAGACGTGTATGGGGTCTACCTTTTTCTCTGACCTATGTGGACACACGCAAGTAACAAGGTATGGCACTGGATAAGTTACAAGAAATATATATATATATATATATTTTTTTTTGGCGCGCGAAATCTTCAGTTATCCATCTAATGTTGTGATTGTTACAAATAGAGTCGTTTATGTGCGTTTGAGCATGCTTTATTTACCACAGAGTTTCTCATTCGCTTGATATGAGCGCGTACCCTCGCCCAATTCTAACTTAAAATCAGGTGCGAAGATCCTTATTGATAGAGGCTGTTATGTTGCTTTAGGAAGCTTTGTAAAGCCCCACTTCCACATTTCGACGACTAAAGAGATCCCGAAACTATATCGGACCGAACCCCACACAACTCTAACAACTTTAGCCTATCCGCGCGGACCGACGCCATTGTTACTGTCAGAACATGACTGCAAGGGAGCCTTGTCAGCCGTGATCAAACGATAGAAAATCGATCGACAAACTAATCTACGATCGAATTACCTCATCGTGATGGCGGCCACTTTACGTGAAGCGAGTGTTCAGGGTTGGTATTTACATCAAATATGTCAATATTCATCATAAGAAGTTTTGGTCTTGCCCCTGGCTGGGTTATTTGATGTACTAGACAAGTTGGATGAAAAATAAAGACTATCGCAGACGTCGTTTTGAAACCACTTGTGAACCGGAAAACTTACGCCGACTACGTGAGGTATTTTTATGCTTCGCTTATTGGTGGCTCTGTTAACACTAAACCTTTCCAGGCCTTGGATTCGTACAGCTCGGTCAATGCAAGCGGCTATCATTTTTCGCTCACCACTGCATCCCCTGCTGGTACGTGTCGTTCCTCCAGGCTTCTTAACAATGTTAACCCAAATTCCAGGCCCTGCCAACTACAAAAGAGAGCATCTTGCCTAGATGGATCAGTACCTTGACTTTTGGAACCTAATAACCTATGATTACGCGGGAAGCTGGGACACCGTTGCCGGTCGCAACGCCAACGTCCACGCATCCAACAGCAAGCTAGCCAGCACTCCCTTCGACACGGACCAAGCAATCGACTATTATACCTCGCACGGAGTAGCCTCTTATAAGATTGTCTTAGGTATGCCTCTATATGGCCGGGCCTTCGCTAACACTAACGGCCCTGGCCAACCTTATAGCGGCGTTGGTGTTGGTAGCTGGGAAAAAATGTGTGGGACTATAATGCCCTGCCTCAGCCCGGTTGTGCGGTCACAAATCTAGACTAGGCAGCTGCTAGCTACTGCTACAACTCGGGCTCGCGCTTGTATGTTCATACGGCAGGGCTCACAGATATCTCAACTCTCTGGAGCCGTAAATGCCAAATATTGATAGAAAAAAGGAGGATTGCCCTGTATCGAGATTTCGGTGGGTCATTATTCTCACTGTAAAAGCCGAAGCTAGGGTCAGCTTTCAGCTGTAGCATTACCCCTTGCCTGATTGGGCCCAAAACTGTCAAACGTGCGTGGTGGCAGCTTCTGTGGACTCCTAATCCCCTGTGTGGAAAATCAATACAATAATTTGTATCGTTGCTTGTTCATGTATGATCATGACAGAGTGTGAGTTTGCTCCCTAGGGGAGCTAGATGGAGATTATGTAAGAGCGATAAGGGACATTGAATCGATTCCGCAATTTGGGTCTATGCACTTTAAGTTGCTTAAAGGATGATAAACTAGCTACCCGTGGTGCTGCTTCAATGTGGCTTGATTTAAAAAGCCCGATCATATTGCTCACGTGAATAAGCTTCCTTTGCTTTAAGTTGGCTTCTGAATATTGTCTTGGAGATGTTGCTCTAAAGCGGAAACTGTTACAAAGCACCAATGATATTATTGAGCAAATTTAATATACAAAGTAGATCACTTTGTCCGAATGAGAGATACGTCGAACGCAACAGTAACATTAACTCAGCTTCAATTCAGCAAAAATGGCATTATTCTGGGAGGACTGGTTGGTATATATCTATTTTGTGGTGACATCACTTTTGAGACAAATCTGAGAAAGGTGGGGATTCCTAGGAGTTCACCTTATGTCTTAAAGTAAATAGTTAGCTGGAACAGAATACCCTAAAGGCCTTAGGAGTATCGTAATGCACTCTAGTATTCTAGTAGGCGCTCCCGGCGGGCCACGTGCTCGGATTTATTCAGTGAGCAAAAAGCGGCAAGGCCTGAGCACTAATACGGAAAGATAACGCCAAGAAGTGGCAGAGGAAATCAAGTACATAGGGAACTCCGATAAGTATAGGTAGCATGCCAAGGTGGGTCCGACAAAGGTTTCCTCTTTGGGATTAGCGTATGGCGGGCAAGTATGAGCTTCAGCGACGTGATAATGGCGGGTTTCACCAATCACGGCTTAAGCAGGGTTGTTCTTCGAGAATGTTTGTACTGTATTATCAAAGTCTAGTTCTGTGCTATAAATTCCCCCCGCTCACCCACCTGTTCCTTCTTCCATCTTCCATTCAAACACCATCACAGACTATTCAGTGACAACCACCCTCAAAGATTTTTACTTGTACAAAGATATCAAGCCTTAAGACATTATGGGAGACTATACACCAGATGTGGCAGGCACGGGGGTGCCAACACTTGCCGGAAAGCAAGTCGAGACCGCCGATGTCAAACCCCCAAGCGGGGTTCTATACCATCAACTCCGCAGAGAACCCTTGAACATCGTCGGTGGAAGAGGCAGTTATCTCATCACTGATACCGGTCTGGAAATCCTAGATGCGACATGCGGCGCAGCAGTCTCCTGCCTGGGCCACAGTGACGAACGAGTACACGAAGCAATCCTGGAACAGCTCAAGAAGATCCCTTACTGCTATTCCATGTACTTCACCAACAGCGCTGCAGAGAGTCTGTCAAAATTCCTGGTAGACTCCACTGGAGGCAAGATGTCTCGTGCTTATATTGTGAGCTCGGGTAAGGACTATCCCTACACTCGAACAAGTACTGTTGCTTACATCTCTGGCTTAATACAGGTACCGAGGCTGTTGAGGCTGCCGTCAAAATGTCTATCCAGTATTTCACAGAGTTACCGGTTCCTCAACCCCAGCGTGTGAATATTATATCTCGAAAGTCGTCCTACCACGGCAATACACTTGGGTCTCTTGCTGTTGGACATCATGCGGCCCGAAGGAGGATTTATGAGAGCCTTCTGTCAAAGAATGTGCACCATATTTCACAATGTTACCCGTACAGAGGGATGAAGACCAATGAAAGCGTTGAAGACTACGTTGTGAGATTGGCTCGAGAGTTGGAAGACGAATTCCAAAGACTTGGTCCTGATACAGTCTGCGCTTTCGTGGCAGAGACTATGACCGGAGCCGTCCGTATACCTTATTCTCACCCTGTTGCCTACGTTCACTAACCTGTTTAAATAGACACTCGGCTGTGTGCCCCCCTTGCCAGGCTATCTCAAAGCAATGAAAGCAGTCTGCGAGAAACATGGTGCCCTCATGATCCTGGACGAGGTTATGTCCGGCATGGGCCGCACGGGAACGCTCCATGCCTGGGAACAGGAAGATGTCGTTCCAGACCTTCAAACTATCGCCAAAGGTCTAGGTGCAGGGTATGCGCCTATTGCTGGTCTGCTCATTAACAAGCACGTCGTCGACACATTAAGCAATGGAACGGGTGCTTTCGTTCACAGCCAGACATACCAAGGTCACCCTGTTTCCTGTGCGGCAGCGTATAGGGTACAGCAAATCATTAAAGAGGACAATCTGTTACCGAATGTTCGTGCGATGGGCGAGTATCTGGGTCAGATTCTTCATAAGCGTTTGGATGGCCATCCTCGTGTTGGTGATATTCGCGGCCGGGGTCTATTCTGGGCTGTAAGTTCTTTCTCTGGCCATTTCTCTTGTGGTTGTTACTGACCCGTTCTTAGATGGAGTTCGTCCAGGATAAGGCGACGAAGGAGCCGTATCCGCCATCCAAGGCGCTTTCTTGGACTTTGCACACCACAGGCCTTAAGCCTGAATATTCGATTTCTCTGATGCCTGGAAGTGGTGGCATTGATGGTGTTAATGGTGATCATATTATTCTGGCGCCACCCTATAACACTACTCGTGCTGAGATTGACTTGATGGTGGATCGGACTGTCCGGGTCATTAAGGAGGTTCTGGGAGAATAGGGTATTAAATTTGGCTTCACTGTATCTGATTGAAGGCTTGTTATCGGACACTCGCTATATCCTACATAGGGACTTAATCAATAAGGTTAGTCCAATATAATATGTTCGTGAACTGAAGAATCATGGCTTCCAGTATACGAATGTTCAATCTAATATTACACTAGAGTCGCATATAGGTTTAAATCACATAAGAACACAACATAGTAATGTACAAAGACAGATGCGATGTATACTACGACATCCTTGATTGGTCGGCTGTTAGCATGTGACCGGCCTATGTAGGCTGGAGATAAGGGCGCGGGGAGGGGAAACCCACTAACACTTCATACTCCTTGACACTTACGGATGTCCTAGGCAATTATTGTTGAACAATCTAATGATTGAGATGCCACGAGGCGAGACATTCTCACGATCGCGAACCGGTATCTGGACTTATTACAGCGCGAAGAGCACGCACTAATATATACTTGCTAGGATGTCTACAATGCCGAAAGAAACACAATAAATGCGATGAACAACAGCCAAAATGTTCGTTCTGCGCAGTCCGAGAATTAGACTGCAAATATCCATCCAATATAAAATGGATTCAACGAACACAGCCTACATTGTCAAGACATAAACCTCGTCGCAGAGACATCCGAACCGCAGAACTAGAATCACTAGCTCGTTCTCCGGCGTTGTTCGCAGACACATGCTTCGAATCCACCGAAGAAAAGTCTGCATGGGAATACTGTATGTGCCTGCATTTAAGCAAAATCGAGTATCAGGCCTGATCAAGATGATCCACCAGACGTGAGGCTCGTCTCATCGAATGTCCCTGCGCTAGACGGACCAGACAACCCTTACCGACAACTCTCCATCCCAGCTCTATCATCCCCCATTCTGCTCGAGACGATCATCTGCATAGCAACAGAGCATATGCTAAATTTCGGATTAACAAGCGTCGATCTTGCAGCCCGACGTCAGCAACGAATGCTAAGAACCCTGGGACAAAACCTGATCAACATAGATGCAGAAATCAATAGCAACCCGGCAACCATTCCGTCAGCCAACAAACCCGAAAGAGAAGCCCTTCTCACAGCCGTCGTCCTACAAGGGATTGTGGTCGCACAAACAGCGGATGGTGTCCTGGAGCCCCATGTCAAATGCGCATTTTGGCTCATGCAAGCACTGGGTTACTTCGCAGAAATACCACAGAACCCCATCGCACGCCTGATAGTCCAACGCTTCGGCATGGTCGACCTAATGCTAGCAATATCCCGACAGCGTAGACCATACGCACCGCAAACCTTCATCCTTAATCAACCAAACCAAAACCACTGGGATACAACCGAGCCATCATTCCATAAAATGACAGGATGTCCACAGCCACTAATGTGCCTCCTGGTCCGAATATCACACCTGGCATGCGACATGAGCGAAAATCTAGAAACAGAAGCGGGCACTGAAGCCACCATCCTCGCCGAGGCATTCAAACTAGACAGCGAACTCCGTGCATGGGGCTCCGAATACATGTACAACGGCGAGATCCCAGCGCCGTGTGAACGTACACCCTTGGACATCCTAAGCGAATGTTTCTACTGGACGGCGCATCTTTTACTTGCGCGCCGCGTCTTCCGAGACCAGACCTGCTCGCTGCGGGTACAGCATCTGGTACATATATGTTTTGGGTTGATGGATCATCTCTCGACGGGGTGTGGACCTGATTCGTCTTTGCCGCAGCCGTTTTACCTTGCGGCGAGGGAGGCTGTATCACCCGAGGATCGGACCTGGGTTCGGCGGAAGCATGAGTCTATGACAGCGTACTATCGGGAGCAGCAGCGGAATTCGGCTATGGGGCTTATTGAACGGATATGGGAGGTTACTGATTCGCTACGGGAGGCTGAGGGTGGGGCTGTGAGATCTACTGTTGATAGGTATGTTCAAGCGCTTGATAGAGGGTCTTGTTTCTTTATCTTTTGAGGACTTATCCGAGACAATAATGTTTTTTTATGCATACAACAGGGGTCATAAATTATTGGACGGACTCCACACGAAAGCCTCAAAGAGAGTTTACCGTCTCATGCATTGCTTTTGTCCTACTTTGGCCTCTCTTTTGTCACCCCTTTTTGTACATTTTCGAGTGCCTCGGGTTACTTCATATAGTTTATTTATAGATGCGCGTGTGAAAAGACTTATGGCCTATGACTATAATCGGGATTGACTTGTGTCGACGGATGACAGGGGTACCCGGTTGGTGATCCCGGTAGCTTGCATGTCAATAATGGCGGATAAAGTCGTTTTTGAGCCGGATGATTACTGCATGCAGTAGCCAAAGCAAAATAAAGTGAAGCACCAGTAGACCGAAATGGCTGGAACGAGGCGTGATCCTGGAAGGTATACGCAATCGCCACCAGCAACTAGTCGATATATAGGGTTTACACAGATGCGCCCACAATTGTTCTCCTGAGTGCAGAACTCGGAATACACGGAAGACGCACGGCCGTTCATAGTTCAAGCCAAGACGAGACAAATTCAAGTCTTGGTCTGGACCTGTCAAGTCTTCTCAGCCAATCATAATCAACGCTGAGGCGGGTACCTGAATGTTTCGCCTCTGGTGGTCCACGGAACTGCACGTGTAACTCCAAGCTTATTGGCTGAGTCCACTGGATCAGCCCCTGGAAGTGTGTGGCGCCCAGGGGAAAATGTGTTGGGAAAGACTCTGCAAGCATTGGCTAGGTTGCCGTGGCTGTCATGGCTGTAACAGGTAGGATATGTTTCGAGTGTCGCTCTTGTTTCCCCTTCGATATGCAGATTGCCCCCGATCGAGCGACGATAAACAGTGCCGGTGTTTCAGATTCCCCGCGGATCTCACGTGGATGCCGTTCGGCGGCATTTAACGACGATCAAGCGATGACCTGTTTCCCTTTGGTTCGACGCCACGGTTCCCATGACAGGTTTTCCCCTGGAGGTCGCACCGATGCAGGACACACAGTCGAGTAAGGAGAGTGCGCTGTACCCCTCAGACAATGGAGGCTCAGGCTGTGCCCTCATTGATCGAAACCGCCGTGACTGTGTGTGGGCACCTGCAGGCTCTGACGCAGGGGCCAAAACCCAGGACCATTGTCTATTCAGTCCACACAGTCGCTTTCCACCCAAAGGAAAACAGCACGATGACCTCTGGTACAGAGCGTAGAATCCACCATAAAAGAAAATAGGCAATTCGAGACCCTGAGAAAACAATGGGGCCTCGCTTGTGCCCCACGAGGTGCCAATAGTGTAGCGCCCTTCGACCCAAACACCCGTAGAGAAGTTTGGTCCGGTTCTCCATGCGTAGTCAGCATCTCCTGATCCTCCTCTCGCTGGGTTCATCGCATCTCTTACTCTTCTCCATTCCACCCATTCTTTTCTTTTCCGCTAGGTCGTTCGTTTCATTCTTTCACGGCGTCCGTACCGCTCTTTACAACTCTTTCTTTTCCCCCGCGAACGGCTTTTCCCCCGTTCCCGCCCGTTGATCGATTCAACCAGGCATTGCGATCTCTCTGACTTCATCAATAATTGATCGAGGTCTAGGATTATTCCTCTGCCCTTCCTTATCAGCTGCTTTGGCCAGCCTTTTATTTATTCCCTCGTTTGCTGGACGCCTCTGCGACGCGCCCTTACCCAACCACCTCCCAGTCTCTGACGTGGACGCCCTCGAACGCGATTTCCCTACGCCAGAACATCCATTCATTTTACACCACCACTTGAACTCTCGCGCCTGAGGCTGCTTCGAGAGGAATACGTCTTGGAAGTCCTTCCACCCTGTTTCGTACATCCATCCCATCACTTGTCGGCCGGATCGTCACACTTCCCACCTTTTCTTTCCGAAAAAACACTATATACGCATCCAAAAAAAAGCATATTCACATTGACTACGAGTTTGAATTTGTGCCCTGATATATTTCTTACGTGGCACTTTCCGTTATGTCTTCGTTGACAGACATGAATTACCCGCCGAGCGCAAATGCACCCATGGCATCCTCATCCTCGCCTCCTGCCTCCACGCCCTCTCCTTCAACTTCGAGTGCCACCACGGCCCATTCGTCTGCCGCGCGCCGACCTCCGCGCAAGAGCACTTTGACTCAACAGCAAAAGAACAACAAACGCCAACGGGCTACCCAGGATCAACTTGTCACTCTGGAAGTGGAATTCAACAAGAACCCTACCCCCACTGCGTCTACCAGAGAGCGCATCGCCTCAGACATTAACATGACCGAGCGATCCGTTCAAATCTGGTTCCAGAATCGGTAGGCCTATCCTCGAAATCAATTGTCTAATTTCAGGTCGCTAACCCAAGACAGTCGCGCTAAAATCAAGATGCTGGCGAAAAAGAGCATCGAGACCGGTGAAGGATGCGATTCGATCCCTGAGTCAATGCGACACTATCTCGCGATGCAATTCGACCCGAACAAGTCCGGTGCAAGAGATCCCTTTGGACGTGCGGGCGCATACAGTGCGTCTAACATGTACACAAACGATGCCAACCCCTCTGGCAAAGTTGGTATGTAATCGGTTTGAACTCGGCGCTTTTCATCTGCTGACATTCTCAGTGATTTCTCACTTTACTTGCCGTTCCTTGACCGTCGGAAGTTGGCGGCGCATTGGACAGAACGCCATGGACTTGGTCGTTTTCTACTCCCCCGATAAGGCTTGCATGACATACTACATCAACAACGATGCCGCCGGATATAAGATCGAGTACCCTTTCTCATACATCAAGAACATCACTTTAGAAACCGGTGATCCCTCTCCTGGTCCGAACGGGGCACCCCCTCGGCCAGGTGGTCTTGTTGTGGAACTAAACCGCCCACCGCACTTCTACATGGACTCATCCAACTCTGGAGGCTTCTACCAGTGTGGTGATTTCACCGAGGAACAGCAAGCTAGCCAGATCATGGTGCATCACCTAGGAGGCCACCCCAAGGTCTTGAGCGTTCAGCTTGCCAAGCTGGTGTCGTTGGAATCCTTCCAGAACCGTCTGGCTTATAACAACAACAGCTTTGCTGTGCCTGCTGCGCCAGCTGCCATGTCCCCACCTTTCATCCAGCGCCCGGCCTCTCAACCCAACCAGTTTGCCGCTCCCACTTACATGAACATGTACCAGGACAGCAACCACCTGGGCTTCAATATGCCTGCGGCCCGTGGCCACAAGCGTCAACGAAGCCGTTCAGTGCCTGCTGCCGTTGACATCTCGACTTTCCAGGGTCCCATGGGTTCCTTCCATGTGCCGCCACCACCTCCGCCTCCCTTTAACCACACCGAGGCTGGTATCTACGCGCCAGTCCCGCAGTCCGTACACCATCTTCCCACCGACTTGCGCATCGACACCCAAGGATATGGACTGGACTTCCGGACTAATCCTATGTCTGCTACCACCACTGGCTCGCCCTCTGAATTCGCTAGTCCAATGTTCAGCAACGCTGGCCAGGGCGAGTCAACACCAGTCGCTAGCATGGCTCCTCAGTTCAATGTCCCCTATGTCTCAGGAGGCTCTACCGATGCCTCGACCATGGGCTCCCACGCAGCTTCTCCCTACTCCAGCGTGAGCCCTGCGGACCCATTGATTGCTAACCACTCGCCGCCACTGTCCAACATGTCGCACGGTTCGTCCGACATGTACAGCTTCTCGCATGATCAGCAGTCTGGCTTCGATGATGGACTTTCAATGAACGATATGTACTCGAAGCACCAGGTTAACTTTGGCATTTCTCATGAAAACTCTAGCTTCGAGCTGCCTGTGCATGGCCTCTCTGCCCACCCCTCTCCAGGCATGGGTGACTACTCCCACGACATGACCAACTTGGACGAGATCAACTCACAGGGCATGCCAACCGGGTCATGAAAGTGTCGGGGCTTTTAAGTTTGTGTATCTCCTTTGTCTCTTGATGTTTCACGGCCTTTTTTGGAGTCCATGCGGCGCTTATGCTTGTGAATGGGTTCTTTTTGTTTCAACTTTGGAGAGGTTTCTTAATTGGCCATTGCGGTCAGCCGTGGCAAGTCCTTGGGTTTGGCAAAGTAAAGAGCCCAGCCCAAAGATATTGTCCCTGACTATCCTTTGGTCAATTCTCGTCTCGCTGGCGATGGCTAGGGAAGCGATTTTTGGTTCTGTTTCTTGCGTGACATACCCTTGTGTCTTGTGTTATTAATACCCTTTCAATTCTGGGGCCGGTCCTGAAGCGATTTTTGTGCTTTACTTTTACTTCTCTATTCCCGGCTGTCCCGGTCGAATTCAGATTTCTTCTTTGTCTCCCGGTCATTTTCCTTCTCCCTTTTCATTTGATTTACTGACCGTGGTTTTTCTTCACCTTTTTCTTTACGTGGTTATGCCAACAGACCGACTTGGACGGCGACTCCATTCCCCTCAACTTTTTCATTTCCTTTTTGTTCTTTTTTGACCTTCTTGTGGTTACGGCCATTCTCCTTATCATGGGTCTGGAGTCGGTTTTGCACATGAGCTTGTCCCGTCGGTGCCTGTTTGGTTCTGACAACCAGCCAGCGCTACTCCCGCGGCTTGCACGGAGTTGTAATATCTTCTGTGCAGAGCTCTCGATATAGGATGATGCTGGTCTGGTGGTATACGAGTGTGGGGGATTGACACTAGGCTCTGAATCAATTCATTTTGTTTCGCAATGTTTCTCATAGACTGTACACGGGAGACTATAGCCCGAGTGGCTCGTATCATGTTACTATTATACAAGGGTATCTCGATCTCGAATATAGCTCCCCAGTTCAGCTCTCCCATACCACACACATTCAGTCCAACATATGTCCAACCCAACCCCAAATCTCATATCTCAAATCTCCTTCTTACTCTCCTCCCATCCCCTAGGCACAGGCGCCGTATACCCCCACCCCCTCAAAGCTCCCTCAATCCAAACCTCCATCTTCTCCAGTACATTCCTGGCAGGCTTCCCAACCTCCCCAACCTCAAATACCCCCTCCTTACACCAAACACTCCAAGACCCCATCATCCCGGCCATAAGCACATCAGTCCCCAACCGATCACCAACAACAGCAATCTCGCCGGCGTCCTTCACAACCCCCCGATCCCGAAACCAAGCAACAACCTCCTCCCCACAGAATGGCTTCTTGTCCGCGCCGGCTGGCAATCTGAACACGGGGATTTGGAGATGCTCCAGCTGCGCTTCTAGTTCGCGCACTTCGTTGTCGAAGGTTGCGTGGCTGCCGGCGCGGTTGGAGACTATCAGGATTGAGTGTGGGTTTTTGGTCTGGTTGAACGGGGATGTTGGGGAGGTGCGGAGGGTTGTTAGTTTGTTCAGGATTTGCGGTGGGAAGGTTGTTGTTTTTGCGGGGCAGAGGGTGTTGTCTTTGTCTAGGACTAGGGCGCGGATTGTTGGTGTGGGTAGTGCGGTTGTCGGGGCTGAGGTTGAGGTTGATAGTGGTTGTTTGAGGAGGTGGGGGCCAAGGTTCTCTGGGAGGTGGGTAATTGTCGGGATTGTTAGGTGTGGGAGGAATTGGGTTGGTTGTTTGAGGAGGGTTTGCACGGCGTAATTGAAGCCGCGGAGGTTGGAGTTTGGCGAACCGGCCATTGTAAGGTTTTGTTCGGAGGATGGGTCGAGTGAGGCTGTAGACTGTTGTATAAAGAGGGAGGTGGTTTGTAGGGTCGTTGTGGGGGCTATAAACACATATTGTGGTGGAAGTAGAGGAATATAAGTTGTTGGTGAAGTTGATGCGTGACCCAAAGCGGAAAGGACGAGCTTAGCCGCAAAACTCACCTTCCGCCAACCTCGAACCTCCTCCATCGTCCCACCATCCCCAACACCTCATTGACCTGCTCTGTCCACTTTCAGTTGTTTAGGACAGCTGCCGCCGAATATTGTCGTCCTCGCAAAACCTCTTTCGAACCCCCCGCCGCACATTCTCCATCAAAATGGGCAAGCTCACCAGCACGATCGGCATCCCAATTAAGCTCCTCAATGAAGCGCAGGTGCGTTAAATCCCCCGAATCGCTGTCGAATTACTTGTCGAAGGAACATAACATGGGATTCAAGGACAAGAGCGACAGCATGGATAGCGCGAGACAGAGCGCTGACTTCAATTTTCAAATAGGGCCATGTCGTGACGCTCGAGATCACATCCGGTGTTGTTTACCGGGGGAAGCTTTTGGAAGGTGCGTGATCTCAGGTATTCAGGGTGTTTCCAGTCCGATTTCCAGATTGGAGCCTCGGGCTGCGAAACAGCTCCTTGGATGTCCATGTCCATGTCCCCCTCAGCGCGGATCGACTCATTACTGACATCTTTCTTGATTAGCCGAGGACAACATGAACGTCCAGCTCAAGGATATCACTGTCACCGCTCGCGACGGTCGTGTCTCGCATCTCGACCAGGTCTACATCCGCGGCAGCCATGTGCGATTCTTCATCGTGCCAGACATGCTGAGGTACGTTCATGCTATACCCTTTGCTTCGCAGTCTCTTTACCGCCATATTGCCATATTGCCATACTGGAAACTGCGCATTGATTCAAGTTACTGACTGCTTATAGGAACGCTCCTATGTTCCGTTCACGAGGCCAGCGCGGGCGCGGTGTCGGTTTGGCGCGTGGTAAGGCCACAGTGCAGCGCGCGCGCGGCCAGCGCCGGGGTTAAGTGTTTGGAGAGCGCAGTTTCAAGACCTCACCGATACAGTGGTTGGCGTTTTTCTTTGTTGTTTTCTTGGTTAGGGGAATTTTTTCTCAGGCTTCTTCGGTCTTGCTGAGTCTTAAAATACTGGCATTTCTCCTTGTGGGATTTTCGTCATATCACAATTCAATTTATGAATCAATACCCGATACTATCTCATTCTACCGTATCAAGGCTTGGGAGCAGTATGAGGACGACCTCTCTGAAGGGCATACATAGTCTTCGCCAAGCGATAGCTACTTTATGCCCTCATGTATTGTCAATTAAAGTCAAAGAACGACAATATGAGTGAAACGAGTGCTCGTACTCGCACGAGTACTCGTTTCACGAACATACGAAGCCGCTTCATAATATATGTACGTGTAGTTGATAACCTGACGACAGCTTATCCACTCCGCAACTTTTCTTCCGATGCGGGGGACACTCACCTCTTCAACACCAATTCCCCTAATGGACTAAACCAGCTTCGATGCACCACGAAACAAACCTCAATCCAACAACCAGACCCTAGCAGAGTCTCCCGCGATGACCTCTCCACCCCCAACAAACCCGGCAACAAGCGCAAAGTCCAACCCAAACGTCAAGACAATCTCTAACCCTCGCCGCCTCCTAATCCTCTCGCCAACCTCCCAATCCATCTCAATAATCCCTCCCCTCCTAACCTCCCTAACCGGCACACCCATACAAAACCCACCGCTACAAAACACAAAATCAACCCCGCCTGATGATGCATCACCGAACCCCGAAACATCACCACCAACCACAACCACAACCACAACTACATTCGCCGGCTACACAACCCACGCCCCCCTATCCCTCTCAACGAAATACTACACAGCCGAGATCCCACTCTGGGTAGATGAAATCCCTCTCGAAACCACACCCCAAACCTCCGAACCAGCAACAGAAACACCAACACAAACAGCAGAACAATGGAAAACAGAATTCCTAAGTCCAGAAGCTGAAATCGTCCGCGATGCAGTCGGCGCATTAGTCGTATGCGTACATACTCCGCACAAATCAAGCTCACCGGCTCCGAATCCGAATCCAGATGCAGATGCGCAAGCAGACGCAGACCCGGCTAATCGTCCTGATGTCCGCGCCCTGCTTACGTTAATGCGGAATATTGGAGCTGTTAAGGAGCGGATTGATGAGGAGAGGGGTGGGGTTGGGGATGTTCCTGGTGTGTTTGTTTTAGTTGGGAAGAAGAGTGTATCATCTGGACCTGGGTCTGGGAACCGCGATGCAGATGAATTAGCTCTTGGTGTTGATGATGGCGATCTTGGCGGTGAAGATGTAACCCCGTTCTCGGTTGGGTGGTGGGAGGATCAGTTTTATGATATTGGGTTGTTGGGGTGGGAGGTTGTTGAGTGGGATCCTAAGGGGGAGGAAGGGGAGACGAGGAATATGTATGGAGGTGAGTTACTTTACCGGACCTTTTTTGGGTGTTGTTTGGTTGATGGCTTTTGCTTTTGCTAACACTGTATCTGATTAGAGCGAGAGGGCATGCCTCGTATCAAGGAGGTTCTTGAAACGCATGACTGGTCTGCATCTGGTGGATCGGGCGGTCTTGGGTTTGATGGAGAACATGACCCAGATATGGACTCTGACGATGATCTCCAGGATCAATTGTTAGGTCTTTCATCTGGGCAGACTCGTGGGTTTGGGGATGAAGTCCATGAGTTGGAGCGCGAGATGTTTGGTTTGCGGATGGCTATTGAGCGGGGTGGGGGCGATGGTTTTGAAAATGAGGAGGAGGGCGGGAATGGGGATGATGAGCTTGATGTTGAGTCTATGGAGGCATTGATGATGCGCATGCAGGCTATTAAAGGTGAGTTTATGTCTTGAGTTGATGTTGTGGTTTTGTTGGAGACCATGCTGACATGTTCCTTATCTAGATATGAGCTCTGAATTGCCTGAGGATCAGCGCAAGCGATTTGCAGCTAAGGCTGTGCAGGATATCATGCGCGATCTATGATTATGGTGGTATTAGCTGGACTGCGAGGTCCATACCCTGCGAATTGCTAGACTGTAGAATAATCATGTTGCAATTATCTGAACTAATTAACGCAATTGGGCCGTCTTTATGTACTGTGGGCCATCAATTGGTTGACATCGACTCTTTTGATACAGGGACCTCCTCTGCCTCACACAAGTATGGAAGGGCATGATACAGGTCTTCTCCTTCATAACAATCACTCAGAACACTCGTTCCCCCCTTTTATATTAAACTGTTGATTTTGCTGACAAAACCACAAGTCGATTGTGTTGTTTAATCAACACGTTTCTTACCGCGCATGACCTTGCGGCGCTGAGCAATCATGTGTGTGTACAGAATGTAAGAGCCTATAAGACAGTCAGTGATGAGCGACAGTAGAGCTAATCAAGGACAGCGCAACATACCAGGAATATAGATCGCAAGAATAGCACTCAAAGCCATGCGGAAAAGAGGGTGAATCTCTCCAGCAGGCCCAAGGGCCTTAATAATGAGAGTGCACTCGCTAGAGATGCCAATGGGGTAGAGAACATAGAAAGTGTTATACCTATATCAATCAAACAATCAGTAAACCGTAACTCGCGCCACCAAACCACAATAGGGAAAAAAAAAAAAAACATACCGCAACCACGTCCACCAAGTAGGAACCGCATTCCCAGAAAGCGTAATAGCAAAAAACCCATAACGAATGACTTCGGTAATGCCCCAAGCAGCAACACAACCCAGATAGGCATAATCACCCAGCTGAGTACTGCGCGCACCAACAATCTCCCCACCAAACTGCGCCATAATGCCCCAAACCAGCAACAGCCGACTAGCAACCTGCATAGCAGTCGTCATAACCGGTGCGCGCACAAGTCCAACCAGGCTATGCACCACCTCCAGCAGGGCCAGTGACTGTGTGGCTAGGAGCAAGGGCGAGAAGGTTAGGTTGAAGATGTTCGGGATGCGGTTTGTTGACACATGGGCCGGGAGGAGGGTGGCCGTGTACACCAGGCAGGTGCCCCAAGTTAGGAGGTTCAGGGCATTGTAGGTGAATAGGTAGGCTCTTGTTAGGCCTGTGGGCGAGGAACGGGGGTTTGGTGTGGCCATTGTTACTGGTTTGCTGTGTTGTTGATTTGGTTGGGAGTTGGGACCTCAGGTGTCAACCTGGACCTCGGGAACGGGTTAGAGGTTATGTAAGCATTCTGGAAGATCGAAAGTGGACCTCAGGAGAAAAGTGTAACTTTGGGTGTTTGGCTTTCATCGGGTGTTTGACATAAAGGTATTTGATGTTTGATCTCTGATGTTGATCTCTGTATCTGGGCTTGGCGGTTCCCTCGTTAGAGCGTGAGACCGCTGGACAGTCACCGTTCGCTAAGAGGTCAGCCACATCCATTAGACTATATGGCTTTTGTTCATTCGTGCCGAGTTAGTCCGTGACAGGGATGTTGTAGCCGGGTACATTGACCCAAATGTCAACAGTCTTTGCCGAAGGGATATGTTCGATCCACATCCCTGCGGAGGACTACGGCTAATCTGGTTAGGCGCGTGAGGTAATTGACTACATGAGCCGATACCCAAGCGGAAGCCTCCCTTTAGGGGCGTTCTTGGCTGAGATGCCGGATGCTGACTTGGTAGCCCCGTAGTGTGTGCATGTGTGCATGTACCACTGCACGATCTAGTCCAAACTATCGTTGGGGGCGTCTGTCACCTCGTATTGCGTGACGGGGATTACATATACTGCACAGGTGTGTCTGACTTGACTGGTTTTGGGGTGTTGTCCGAGACTGATATCGGGGTTGTGGTCTGTTCCTCGCACTTGCATTGATTGTACCGAGATAGGCACGCACTTGGGGCCAAGATAGGAATGTGCTTAGATATACATGTACAGGGTTGTGGGTGCCCCCACCCCCACGTGAGTCAAGAGCCAACAGACAACATGTTCGTGCTCCATTGTCTCGCTTTTGATACTAAATTTGGTGTTCTTCCACGGTGAAGTGTAGGCTCCAGACTACGGAGTATAGCCGCAAGTGGAGCGACACACCTACTCGTGTCTTGAAACTAAGACATGTTACACCCAGAGAGTATATATAAGCTGATACCTTGGTATCCCTATCCATATGCCTGTACTCCGTATAACATAGTTATTCTCTTGGAGTATATGATGACGTAGGGTAAACAGTAATTGCCGTTACGGGCGATGACATCAGAGGCTGTCAAATCTCCACTCTAATGATGTCATGGCTATGTTAGCCAGGTCTGATTGGTGAAAAAAGGGTTTTAACCAACCACTTCGCGTGCAAACCAGCAAAAGGCACGAAGATGCACAAATGCCCCGTTTCTATATAAGTAAAAGAGATGGCTGCGATGTGGGCATTTTTTATCTAGCATTGAGTCCAGCCTCCCGCCAGCCACGGGAGCAACCAAAAAGGAAAACGCAAATCACCTGCCATTGGTAATACCTCAGCAGACGACCACCCCCTTTCTCGACAAAGGATCCGTGGAGCCTTCAGCTCTACGTCAGATGCGGTTCACCCATGCAACACACACACATTTCTTGGAAACGGTCCTCGGGGGCCCAGACCTGATCGGTTCCTTATAGTTCCTCATGATTACGTGCTAAAAATTTTGCGAAGATATCTATCTTGTCTCTGAGGTTGAGCGGGAGTTCAGCTGGTGGATCTCTAGGGAGAAAAGCTTTACTGTTTGACCTCCGTACAGTACACAGAGTCATCGTACGTGTGACAGGGCTACAGTGACGTTCCTGGGGTCGGCTATGATGTCGTCCCGTATAAGCAATTTACGGTCAAAATGTGTTCCTACCCTCTTCACCATAGACCATAGGTGGGCAATTCATTTTTATTCTCTCAGGTCTGTGACTATGAAGATCGTGAAGCTGAGATAATAAAGATAGATAAAAATGATGAGAATATAGAAAAATGCTAAGTTATAAAATACTCTCAAGTTGCCGATTGCATACCCACCTAACGTTCTCCGCCCCTCCGTTTCTCTCTTTTCCCCTCTCAACTTCTTCCACCCCCCTTTCTTCCTGTCCTTCTTTTTCTTTTCTTTGGAGCTTCATCTGCTCAATCCAAAAATAAGGTAGGATTTTCAACTTAGCTTTCTGCGCTTTTTCCCCCCGCCCGCCCTCCCCCTCTCCCCTGCTCTGGGACCCTGGCTTTTTCCGCGCTAGTGGCTATATATGCGAATGTTCGGGGCTCATATACCACACACTTAATCTCCCCCCACCTCCTCTGATTGCTTCCCCTGTACTTCCCGGCTTGCGCTCACAGTAAGCGACTACCCTGCTGTCAGCCATACTTCGATCTCTCTGGCTGTGCCCCTCTTCCCTTGATCATAGACCCCTCCACCCTCCCCGCAAAAACCCTTACTACCTGCGTGCCTGGATTTGTAACACCCTGGCCTTGTAAGACAACATATGCGAGTGCTGATATTTGCGATTTCGACGTATCATCATTGGATCTAACTGACACGGATTTGCAGATCCGCCTATCCCACCTGGATTGGGCAACAGATCGGAAACACGACACAAGCGTTCCTTCCGTGATCGGCGTGTGCCACGTTCCTCCTTCGTCTCTCTATATTCTCACACAACACACACATCATGGCGCCAGCCGATACCAAGAAGACCGAGGCGGTAAGTGCTGCTGGTTTATTTTAAGTTGTGCTTCATGGACTGACGAGACTAGGCCAAGCAGGGCCCGCCCAAGCTGTCTGATTACAAGGAGATCCTCGACGAGAGCACATTCGAACAGATCCTTGAGATGGATGATGACGAGGAAGACCGCGATTTCAGCAAGAGCATCGTCTATGGATTCTTCGAGCAGGCTGAAAACACCTTCAAGAAAATGCAGAAGCAACTGTGAGTTGCCCGTCTCGTCATTTTCAGTGGATAATGGCTAATACCAAATAGAGACGAGAAGAACCTTAGCGAACTCTCCGCTCTTGGTCACTTCCTCAAGGGTTCGTCTGCCACACTCGGTCTGGTCAAGGTCAAGGATGGCTGCGAGAAGATCCAGCACTTCGGCGCCAGCAAGGACGAGACAGGCAGCATCGATGAACCGGATAACGAGGTCTCTCTCAAGGCGATCAAGAAGACCCTGGACGACGTCAAGACCGCATACCGCAAGGTCGAGAAGCTTCTGCGCCGATACTATGGTGAGGAAGTGAAGGACGAAGAAGAAAAGAAGCCCGAAGAGAATAAGGAGGAGAAGAAGGAGGAGGAGGAGAAGAAGGAACAGAAGGAAGAGAAAAAGGAGGAAAAGCCCAAGGAAGAGCCCAAGAAAGAGACCAAGCAAGCTTCAGCTTCGAAATAGGTCATGGTCACGGTCATGCGGGCTGGTTGATATACCACCCCCTTTTTCTTTTTAGCGACGGATGGAGCATGGCACACGGCTTTTCCTTTTCATCATCTTTACCCTACCCTCTTCCACTCCCTTTGCCATTACCTTTACCCCTTACCTCGCCCTATCATTCCCTTTCCTGTTCCCTCCTATCCTTTTTGAACCTGGCTTTTTCTGGCTTTCTTGACGTACATAACCAATTCCCCGCCATCTTTTTCCTTTCTCCTGGCAAACGGGTGTGGAACGGATATTCCTGGTCTGTCTGTCACGTAGGTGCAGGCGCGAGAATCGTGACGATTCCGAGGAGTCTTGGACAGTACCGAGATATGGAAATCCGAATGACTCTGTCTCGCTCTGCTTCGTTGAATTGGTAGGCAGTGTGTAGTCATGGTTTATAGATTGTAAATTGCAAGGAGAACGAATTGAGGAAAACGGTTTCCGGCCACCCACCTGGGCAGAACTGAAAGAAAGCCGCATGCGAGCAGAAACAAAAGACAAAGTTCAAATGTAAAAGTCCGGGAAAGTAAGCCCCTTTATACTTTTATACATATACATTACAGCCGATCCTGAATTAATCTAAACCAAGCCCTGGACCCGGGTGGCGCCCTAAAAAGCTTCCTTCAGCCACTTACTTTTGCGTGGGCCTGCCCAGATAAGCTTGATTCAACTTGTTCCTGGCAAGCCCGATCTGGGAGTGATGCCCGACCTAATCGAAGCTTATTTTCGATCGATGGTGTTTGGGGCTGGTTATTGGTTGTCTGTTAGGTTGGTTTTAGTTCACTTGGGCTTGTTTGGGTTTGGTGGTTTTTGTAGGTTGCATCATTTCGCACTCAATTTATTTCTTGTGTATTTGGATGCGATTGGATTTTCTTATTGGGTGTATTTATTTTCGTTGGTTTCTTTTCTTATGCTCGTGTGGTAAGAGTCTTGTTGTGCGGGGAGGGGTAGTTGCATGGCTCTTTCTGGTGTCAGGTAGGTTGTATACTTATATATACGTATAGAGCTCTATTGCTGTATCTGCGCCTGTAGTCGCATTTGCATAAGGAGAGAGAGTTGTGGGCGGATACTGAGTTATACGTGTATAGGTAGAGCATTGAGCTAGGATGGAGGTGCAGCGCCGGTTACATTCAGATGCACTCTCGCATTTTGACAACCTAACGTCTTATGTCTACTTCGGGTGTTACTATCTTCATATGTGGAAGTCCTTATGGCTAAACGCATCCAGTAATGACCTATTGTTCGTAATCAGTGAACAATATAGAGGGCAAACAATCCAACGAGGTGGCTGGCCCGTTCAATAGACCAGTCTCTCAACGGTTGTGAAAGCTTGCAAATGTAGCCCCGGAGGTATGCATCGTCCAGATAGTGTGCCTTGACTGGCTCGCACCTCTTGTACAAATGTCAACTTTGCTGTAGCAGGTGAAAGGAAAGACAACAATGAAAAGCCTGACAGCTCAGAGATTGAAAAGTCGATACATCATCAACCCCTTCACGTCCCTTTTAATTTCTAATAAACTGAAATTAGTTTTATCCCTAGCCAGGCTGACTAGCTTCGCGCCACCGTCAAATTTTAGATCTCGAAAGGCAATCCGTCACACGGCAACTCAATATGATAGACCGAAACCTTCATCAAAGTGTCTAGATCTGTCTTTGACTCGCCAACCTTAATCACTAACTTAACACCAAACGAGGCTTGATACATTGCATTGCTCAGAATGTATCACAAACAGAACTAGAATCGAGTCAAGCTGTACGTACTCTACGTCCTGTACTCCCAAATTCCCCGCAACGGAAGCAAGTACGCGCCAGTAGGCAATGTCCCAATGTTAAAACCCGAGACGCAATAACTGCACCGTTTGGGGTCTCGGTCTGTCGAGACTATCAAATTGCATCCTGGCCTGGTCTAGTCTGGCTGGTCACACAGCAGACTCGAAGGGCGTTTTTTCCCTGCGGGATGCCGGGAGGCCAATCCGGCGGATAGATACAGGGGACCAGTTCATCTTTAATTCCCGCTATCAGGGGTTAGATATTCCGCGGGTGCTGGGTTGGTCTCAGAGAGCCTCGATACTGCTATATGCACAATATGACCTCTCGGGCTCAAGCTCTCTGCACACGTCTGCACAGTATCCGGCGCACGTCCTCGGCTATATCTGCATGTTCCCATTTTATTACAATCACACTGGGTCCTCTCTTCTCTCTATCGTCCCCCTCATGGAAGCGTACAGGTGCGTGGCAACGAGACCAGCCACCAGAGCTACCGTACTGTAGAGATACTTGCACACCTCCCGAGACTTGACTCCCCAGCTGTAATACGGATCTGGGCGTGTACATTTCCACCCCCAAAGATAAACCTCGAAACCTCCCTCTTCATGCATGCAAGCATACATATATCTCCTACCCGTCTGTCTCGGATAGCAGATTCGAACCCAAAAAAAAGTGCCTTTAGTAGGTACCTAACCTGCCCATCGCCATCCGCTCTCAGTCCTCGACTCCAGGTTTGGATCCAAGATGACTCTGTTTGTGACTGTCTTGCTTGTCTTCGACGGTAATCTTTCGACTGGTAGAAAGTGGCAATGTAAAATAGACTTCGTACTACGAAGTACTAATTCAAGTACCATCTTACCTTTTCGGTTTCTCTCTCTTCAGATTGCTCACTTGTTTGTCTGTCTCGCTATCCTCAGTCCCGACCCCTAACCATTTTACTCTCCTTGACCGTCCCACCGCGACTCATGGGTTCAAGCTGCCCCAACAAATTCCCTATTCACCCAGCCAGTTGTGGAGGTGTATCACCCACCCGGGGCTTGCACTCTGCACTGCAGTCAGCGGCTTGCGGTTTGCAGTGTGCAGTTTGACCTAGTCAGGGGTTGTATATCAACGGGCGGGCAGTGATTATACACGTGCATTGTACAACCCCGAAAACGCAACGTAAATGCAGCATAACGTCTACTGCCGAAGAAATAATCCGTAGGCGCCAGAAAGGCGAACAAGGCGAGGAAACAGCCAACGATCTTACTGGTCTCCCTGCCTAGCCCTATGTGTCAACTACCTACCATACTGCACAGTCTACACTATCCCCCATCAATTACCTTAGCCATGCATGCAACATACACGCACATATCCAAAGGAAAGAGTAATCAGCGCATGTCTTAGCCTCGGACACATCTTAGCCTAGCCTTCTAGCAGCTAACAGCTAGCTAGTCCTGGGAATAGAACCCCGGTCCTCTTACTCGTGCTCATACTCATGCTCGCGCTCGAGCACTTGTCCTATCCTCATCCTCGTCTATCTGATTGCCGGCTCCTCATTCCCCGCTTGTCTGATTGTCTCTGTCTCGCGCCTGGCCGTTCGCTGGCTCTGCCTCGTTCCGCGCTTTGGATCTGATTGCACCGGCTCATGGACGGCTTCGGATTTGTGCAATTAGTTTGGATTGGTTAAGGCTCCCAACGGCTGTTGGGAAGGGATGGGGAGGGTGGTTGGTAGGTAGGTATTTGCTTCGTGGATGGACGGAGGGAGTCTGTTTGGACTTCCTTGGTCGTTGATATAAAGTCTTGAGTTTGGCTCTGGTTATGAGGGTTCGTTCTTCAGCTTTGTGGCTTTTCTTCTCTTGGATCTTGCTTGCAACTTACACTGAGTCCGGATTTACACTCTACCTTTTGAGGCAATCTCCCAGACTCTCGTCCCCATTCTATCAAGATCAAGATCAAGGAATCCATCCATCAACCAAAACAATGCCCGTCGGACCCCGAGTCTCCAAAGAAGAATTCATGCACGCACTGGGTCTAAACCCCCAAGATGCCCACCACGAGCAATACTACCGCGCCATGCGCGTAAGTAATCCAATCACCTCCCACCTTCTCCCTCTAATCATATCCAATCCATTCCATTCCAATCTAACACTAAGCTCCCTTCCTCAGGACGAAGCAATAATGGTCTACAACCGCATGAACCAAGACACCTCCAATCTCCTCGACAATATCCGCGCAGACCCAAACACACGCCCGCCGTTCTTCTGGCACCACATCCGACCAGACCGACAGCGCTGGGCGATTCTCGAGATCTGGCGCAACGCAGCACCGCTTACGAGGCCGTTGTTTGATCGTGGAATTACCAATGGCGAGTATGGACCCAATTGGGTTGCTGGGTGGTTGTTGTATAGCGTTTTTCGATCGCGGGATGTGAGGAATAATCGGAATCGGAGGAAGGGGGAGGCTGGGCCTGCTGGGGGTGCGGTTGAGTCTAGTATGTACATGTATTCGTTTTGTTATTTTGGTATCCTTGAGTGGGTGTTGTTGCTGACTTTCGTGCGCTTTTCCTGTAGATAGGCGCTCTAGGCAGGTTGAGGAGACGGCGCCGAAGAAGTATTATGATCCTGTGCGGAACGGGACTTTGTGATTTATTTTTTCTTTGCTTTTTGTTCTTGGTTTGTGTATTATTTTTTCTTTGTCATATCCAGTCTGTCTAATATCTATTGTTGCAATAATGAACCGATATGAAACGAGATCTTTGGTACAACGAACAAGTCTGTGTAGACTAAGAGATGATGAGAGAAGACAAGAAGAGAGACAAGATGATCAGTCGTCGTCCTTGTCACGCTTGTCATCAGACTCGTGCTGTTTGTTGTTCTTCTGTCTGCGCTCAGACTTGAGAACTTCTGTCACGCGCCGATCTTGTTCATCGGCACGCTCATTCCATTCGGCATCATACTCAGCAGCGATATTCTTGATCTCCCGACGAAGTGAGTTACCCTCGTCAATCAAAGACTCCCACAACTGCAAGTCCACCTTGTGCAGTTGATACAGCTTCTTCTGTCTGGCACTGATCGTAAAATCTAGTGCTGACTTGTAAGAAATCTCACGGTTGTGATACAAGAACCACAGATAACCTCCCATCAAGGTAGACAAACTGACCAAGTAGGTCACCGGCTCCATGGTATCCCATCCCAAATCAGTTTCAAACGTCAACTTGTACACCGTGAACCACCAGACGGAAAGAATTCCAAATCCACCAATTGCAACGCGCTGAGCCCCCCGATGCGCCAAAGCATCGCATGTCTCTTTAATTTCCGCCAACGTTTGTATCCGCCGCGAGAGCTTACGCAGCCGCATGCGCAGGTAGTACGTGCGTTCATTGAATGATGGTACTGCAACCCGGATCTGGCCAAGACCCGCTGGTGCACCTTCAATAGTAACGATGAACTCGCCCGCTCTAGCTGCGTCGCGGATGAAATCGCCTACTTCGGTGGCCTGAGACCAGCGGACGAACCGGTCTAGTTCGCCGTCCTCTGAGCCTTCCGAATCCGTATTTCGCGGGTAGCTGTAAGTTTCTGCATCTTCATCCTGAGTACGACGACGATGGAAGACTGGCTTGCTGCCGAGTGGCTTACTGCCGCCGACACCGTCGTTTCCTGGGACGAAATCTTTGATATTGATGCTGTCGGGGTGGTGTGCATCAACGTCAATATCATCTTCAATTCTCTTTTTAGGTTTAATCGCGTTGTCTTCGTGCTGAAGTGCGATGAAGGATACTGCTGGTGGTCGGAGTTTGTCTGTTTGTCCTTTGATTGGGGGGAGTTCGGACTGGATCAGGCGTTCTAGGTAGGATAGAGGTTGTTGTGGGTGGACGAGAATAGCTATCGGTTCGATCTCTGTCGATAAATGAGTTGACTGGCCAATTCAATCGCAGGTGACTTTAGCTTACCTTTTTCATGGCCGGGATTGCCAACGATTGTTAACGGAATGATCAACTTGAAGAGCCGCGATGGCGTCGTCAACATTTTACCTATCTCCAGTCAGCATTGATAACCCCCAGTGAACCCATTGCATCCATGCCTTTGGTCATCCTTTCAGGCCATTCCTCCCCCTGCATCACAGACTGCTCACCCTTGCCATCCTCACTGGTAATATAATGCTGAGGCCGGGCCTCCTGATTCCCTTCTTGCACCTCAAATTTCTCCAAAAGCTCTTCCGTCTTCTGATTGTCACCAGAGACTTCCGAATGGTCTGCTTGACTGAAACTCCTGAACTGGCTCCACCCAAGACGATTAGAGGGAACTGCAACGCATTGCGTATTTTTGGCAGGTGATACCCCAGAGATTTGGAAACCACGATCTCTCCTTGAAATCAAATGAATATGCCGTGTTGATAATCCAGGCCCTTTCCCAGTGCAAGCGTTCCACCCCGCTGAGCTCAATCTCCTCAACGAGGCATATGGGATCCCGCGTGATATTCGCCCCGTAGCTGTGGCTGCCGACACGATAGGGGCGCAGTGTCGTGCCGGGAAATGCATTTTGCAACGGGAGAGTTGTTATGCTACTCCAGTGGCTTATCGTATGTGCTTTTGTCGGATTGGAAGGAAACGACGGGGTATAGTCTGGGGAAACGGTAGTAGTAAAGAGGCGCAGCAAGCTCAAGACATGACGAAGCGGCGTTTCGTGTGCACGTGGAGAACAATTATGATGTATGGCGCTAAATGATAGTCCAAGCTATCGACTAGTCAAGATGAATCAGGTACACCTGGGCATGCTACAACAGCTACTTCCTTGGAAAGTCGCCTGACGTCACTGTGGCACAGATGTCAACGTCTGTTGCTTGTGGCTGATGCTGTGGCGGTGTCGGGTTCTCGACATGAACAACGCTTACTATTGGCCAGATCGCGACTGTGCAAATATTATCCAGTTCATGCAGCGTTTGGTCTTCACGCTCGTTGCGGTGAGTACCTGACCTATTCTTGCTTCTCGAGTGCTACAAGAAAATCTAAATTTTTCCAAGTGTTTCGGCCTTTTAAAACTCATGCATGTTAAGGAATTTGTTACAGCTCAGATCATGTAAATTAGAGACCTACATTATAGCTCAATCTATTGCTTTTATTTTGCGGTTCCATCTGCGATCAACTTTTCAACTAACTCTAGTTTAATTTCGATCTATGGAGGGTAGGGGGGTGATGCTCCGAGGTTATGTATATTCACTGGTCGTCGGATATGCAGGTAAGTTCAAAATGCAAATGAGTCTTTCAGATAGGTTATAAACCCAAGACAAGCAGATATATATCCCCATTTTCCCTTCAAGGGATATCCCCGATATGAGATTTTTGAGTGTTGATGGGCTTCTCGATACCCGCCGCTTATACTTGAGAGTCGTATTCAAACCTGACTTGGGAGCCCATACCATGATGAAGCATATTGTTGATTATTTTAGGTTAGTACACAGTATACAGATGCTATAGACCATTAAAGTTACTCTGGATCAAAATTTCAAGTACATCCCTAGTAATCAAATAGTAGCAATAGTATGTCTAAGAGCTTTGTCCATAGCCCTAACAGAGAGAGAGACAGAGAGAAAGAAAGAAAGAAGAACTTATGTAGTTGTAGCAGTATAATATCTGGAACATATCCGATTGGATGGAAGTCATCTAGCTCGCTAAAGATGGTATCCGGCACCACTCATAAGTTAATATCAGTATGCAAGAGAAAAGTCGACATTGATCATAAACTCATCGCTAACCCCCGCAGCCACAAATAAAAAGCACAATTGGGAGATTAATCTCAATCCACCATCTAGATAAGCATCATTAGCCTGGGCGTATTAATCATCAATGGCTATAGTAATAGTCACAGCCACAGCCAAGTACTCATCAACAAGAATAGCAGTGCAGCTTTTCCATCTATATAACCAAGAACAATCACAATCACAATCACATCATACCAAAAAGGTGGTCATAAGAATCATAAAATCATAATCCACAGTCACCACCACCATCACCATCCCTATCCCATAATCATCTCATCTCCCCAACCCTGATGGGACTACTCCCCCCACTCTGACTACCACAAATCGACCCACCACCCGAAGACCCAGAGCCGGACCCATCAATATCATGATCATGATCAAACCCCCTCCCATGCTTCCTGCCAGTCCCGATAGCAACCGGAATCCCCTGCACCACCCCGCCATGGTCATGGCCGGCCGGGTACATACCGTCATTCACAGAGAAATTGCGGCAAATCAGGTACGCGCGCATAGCGGCGCTTTCGCGCGCTAGTGTTTCGGATGCGTACACGGTGTCTGTTTGGTATTCGCGGTTGTTGACGCGTACTACGCATGTGTATCCGCTTGTGTTTGTGTAGGAGTTGTAGGTTGGTTCGGGCCAGTGGCGGCGGCGGCAGAGGCCTGTTTTTTGTTAGTTTTTATTTTGTTTATTTGTTTGATGTGCATGTGCATTTGCATTGCGTTGGAGTACACAAATGCAATAGAATAGAATAATGTTGGACATGTGTGTACGGTACTTACTCGTCAAGTAGAGGATATAGTACATCTTGAAATTTGGGACGGGATAATTGGGGCGAGGTGAGGCGGGGAGATTGGATAGGACACGATTGTGCGTAACCGCTGTTGACTCTATGGCGAATCGAATCGAATCGGGATAGGTATGTTACTCGGACTGCATTGGATAGATTGGGGTCTGCTGCGAGCACGGGATGCTAGCGTTGAAACTGAGGCTGAGGCCGAGACTGAAACTGGGACCGAAACCGAGGATGCCGGATAGGAGGAAGATGCAGTAGTATGCGATCGGGATGCCCAACTGTCTAGCTGGAGCTGTGAACTTGACTTGACTTGACTTGACTTGACTGGACTGGACTGGACTGGATTGGATTGGATTGGATTAGGTGGGAGTGCGTTTGCTGGCTGGCAGCAGTGGGGGATGTGTGTGTTGGCACTGGTGTACACAGTGTACTTTGGCACAAGCACACTGATAGCAGATAGCAAGTGGGCTGATTGAATTGAAGAAGGGAAAAGACGAGGAAGAGATTGGAAACTAAAATAAAAGCTTGACAGGGACGAAGATGCCACACCCATATACTATACTCTGTACAGATTACACCGAACCAAACCCCCGTACCGGAAAAAAATAAGAGGAAATTTTAATGAGGGGGAGAGGCAATTGCTTCCATATAGTTAATTTACTGGAAAACGGGTGGGGCAATTGGCATTGTAAAGTCATAGTATGAGTTGTCCAGTGTACACAGCAGGTACACACATATAGTTACGGAGAAAAGGGAAACGGTTGCAATTGCGACAGCGCACAAAAGAAGCGACAGTCGAAGCTGCAGACGACCTGAAGAAGGAAAAGATAGGACCAATTAAAGCAAAAGTCAAAAACCAATTTAATTCCCACCGTGGAAACACTTGCAAACTTCGAGTACTGCGGGCATGAGGGTATAGTATAGACTACGGAATTGTCAATGTCAGTACAAAGTAAAGACAATGAACAACATATAGACCCAGGCACAAAAGCAGACTAAAACGCAGCAAGAAGGTAGAAAATATAAACTAAAAGCTCAAGGAACTGTACAGTTTACCCAAGTCCTGTTTCGTGGCCCGTTCGGCGGATTTAAGACTGATGCGTTGGCACGTCTCTTCACCAGTAGATTCGAACCGAAGAGAGAGAGAGAGAACCGAGGGACAGGGGTGAGAAGAATCCCCAATTCGCCGATCGATAGACTCGGAGACTAAAATGGGACCTAGAAAGATGCGCTGCAATGGCTGCAGAAAAGTGACGTTTATCTACTGTTCTGTTAATGCCCGGGACAATACTAGGAGGGCTATGGCCTCGGCGTTCTGTGCACAAAGTAGCGTTGTTGTTTTGCCCCGCAGTAGACGCATTAGAGAAAGTAAATTTGCCGCCCCTTGATATACATATGGAGACGCGCACTTTTCTTCAGGCGGTGATTGGCGAGGGGGAATGTTGTGCAGAAGGGAGACAAGAGTTAAGAGGGAAATGCAGAGAGTTACTCGACAGGCATCGGATGCAGTGATGAGCTGGCATATGTGGGAGGGCGTTGAGTTTTATTTGATTACTTTTGCCCTCTTGGGCCTCGTGCATGTGGCAAACATTAGAATAGATCTGAATATCATTCTTGCAAGAATGGAACGGAAATAGAATTGACTGCTATGACGATACGTGGGCTCTTTCTCGGACTCCCAGTCGTATATCCCTTGCGTCTTCTTCGTATTCCCCATGTGACTTATCCGCGTGGCTCCCATGTTACTATGATCGCGGGGCTTGCAATTTCTAGGATGACCAGGTCATGCATGGATAGGTTCGCCCAGAGCTCCTATTTACCAATGTTGCGATCTACCACATTCACCTGGGTTTCCTCCGTGGCGCATGGCCCCGTGTCTTCTTGTTTCGGGTGATAATCCGTTTCAGGTCAGACATTGAAAGGCTGGGCTTCGGACCAGAGCCGCATTTTCTCCGCTGCCTTGTGTGGGATCACATACAGGGGATGCAAGGGTTCCAGCCGATCGGATTTGTCAAAGACACTGTCCTCGGCGCGAGATGGCGTAGACTTCCAGGAGAATGCTGATGCAAACCCCCCGCTGGAGACACTCGAGTCTGTGCGGTAGTGGTTATGTTGGGTTGCGCTCAAGCCTGCCAGAACGTAGCAGGTATGGTATGAATCGACGTGTCTGGGGTTTGGTCAGCTACACCTACGGGAATTCTGCGATGGAGAAGGGGCTCCATACTTGCCCGGTTTGTCACGAAGACCTCCGGTGTGGCCTTGACAGCATCCAAGGATGTATCTTGTCAGACCTTCGCGACTGAATAGACTGCCAACTGGCGTTTCGGCGTTGCCCGGCTTTCCGTTCAAGGCCGACTCGAGCAACGGCCAGCATCCTCCGACCCAATGGCTGTAGCACCCGTCTACTAGCTTGTTTGTGCGTCCCGAAAGACCGCCCTCTGGGGCCGACTGACGGGCAGAAAGCCAAGATACCAGCATTGGAATGTCCATATGTCTTAAAGGCTATTAGTATCCGATCAAAGCATCCCGCCAGTAGCACTAACCTGTGGAATATCTCCTCTGGGGGCCCCATGATAGATAGACATGCCAACGCACAGAAAGCATAAGCGCCATGGGCCTCTGACCCAGGGCTTCCAGAGATTCCCCCTTCAAAGGTTTGGCCTAGAGTGATGTCAGCACTTTATCAACCAAGTTGATCCATCGACTCTTACATCGTGAGAGATACTGGGGTAGACCATGAGTCAACGTCTCCAGACCCGCCAGCCGCGCTTGAGAATCCGGAGGCAGCGTCAGTGGCAGGTCCAGTAGCGAGATGATCGTCATAGCGCAATACGCGCCTCTGCAATGACATGTCAGAGCCACGGATCCAGCACGGGGGACATATGAGCTGCATCTGCATGGGGCTTACCGCACATCTTCCTCCCCGCCTTCGCAAACACGAAAGCCCCCATCGGCCTGCTTCAAGCGGCCCAGCCATTGCCACCTGAAAACCCGGGTCAGAACGCACATCACGCACATGCAGGAATCTGCCGGCGAAGAGAACAACTCACATCGCGTGTCGATCGACCAATCCAAAGGCCTCCTGGCCTCCTACCATCGCCAGCGACAGCACGGCCGCATAACTTCCTGCCAGATGAGATATCTGACCATGGCCACCACCGAAGCCACCGGTGGAGTTCTGCATAGGCCGAAGCGTAGCAAGCACCCTGTATTGCACATGTTAGAGAAAGCCATTTATACTGTCGTAAATAGTCGATCCTTTCCCCCTTTGAGGTCCTCCATGTCCTCCAGGTCCTCCCCCGAGAGGCTTTATGTGACAGAAAAAAGCAATGGAAGCGGGAAGGCAGGCGAAAAAGCAAGGTACACTCACCGTTCGCGGAATCGACTCGCATCCTCGCCCAGCATGGCAAAGCTCGCCAGTGCCCAGTACACCATCCACGGGCGGCTAGCGTCCATAGCTACAAAGCCCGCGGGATAGTCCTCTAGGGAGTCATAGAGGTATCCGACATGATCGTCGCGGAGGAGTGCCGGCACCCCGCTAGCATTGAAAGGGCCTTTCTGACTACTGTGAATTCCCTTGAGAAAGGGCAAGCATTTCTCAAGCGTTGCATTCTGCAGATCAATTGTTTCTGTGATGAGCGGGTCACGGATGGCCGGCGGCTGCGTGAACAGGGCCGGGATCCCCGGGCGCGGTTTTTCGGTCATTGTTTTTCCTGCGCGTGTGGTGGGCTGGACTGTTTGAGTGCGCTGGAATCGAACTTTTCGTTTCCCCGGCATCAAGGGGGAGTCGAAGTTTTGTATTTGTTGAAAGAGAGGTGTTGCTATTGTTCTTACATGAATGTGTAGAGTTAAGATTGTTCATTGTTCTCCCGCGGGGTTTTTTTCCCACTTCCTTCCACTTACTTCACTACAATTCTGCTCAACTTCACTTTTACATACATGGGTTTGGATAGTATGCGACTATTTTGTTTCACTTCGGCATATTTTCTCTTACTGAATCTTCCGAATCAGGTTTAGGTCATAAAAAAAGGCAAAAAAAAAAAAAGAAAAAAAGAAGCCAAGCCACCAAAAGGGTTGAGTTCTCGTGGGCCAAATCATAGAGGCTATTGCTCCGTGAAGATGTCCTGCATAGGCCAATCGCCATGATGTGATGGATCCAATTTTCTGTTTTCTTATGCTTCTCCCTTGCATTGAAGTGACCTGTCGACTCTAGGGTTCGTGACGGTTAGGCTAACTGAACGGTTAACATAGCGTGGCTATCCTTGGTCTTCTATCCTTGGCTATACCTAGGTATGGAAATCAGGGAAGTAGGACATCCTCAACACTGCGCGGTCAGCATCCAGAACTGGCCCACTAGCCAACTGATGCGGTATGGCGTTACGCGCTATACGAATTCTCTCTGTGATTGGGTCTGATTAGGAATGAAGCGTATAACATGATCCGACTGTCAGATCGTGCTCATCCTATTGCCACGGCTGATCTGTATTAGCACTAGCGACTAGTGATGTGGCTCATTTTTCGTGCTCCCCACTGATCTCCCGTCCCGACTTGTTCCCGTGTCTTACCATAGATTGGAGATAAATATGGGTAAACATAGCAAGATAGAGCCCCAGTCTAATAGTGTAGTACAATGTATAATGGTACGTAGTACATAGACTAGAGTTGGCTACAAGAGCATATGAAGTATGTAGAAGGCAGGCAACCCAATTAGGCAAAAGTTCAATAGATCTCCGAGATCATGGGACCGAGACCACCTCACCAACCACCCACTCTCGCCAATCTCTCCAATCTCTCCAATCTCAAATCCCTGTCCTCAATGCCAAGTGTCCCCCTCAACACTATCTTAGTGTCGTGGAAGCAAGATATTTCCACATCCTCTCTCCACTCCCCACAGTCCCCTAGCGCATTTCTTCCTCACCGCTGCTTCGTCCCCCCCACCGCCTCACTTTCTCTCTTCTTGCCTGTGTGACTCTTCTGAAGAAGGTCCTCTCATCCAGGCTGGTCCTTTATTTCCTCCCCTTCAACTTCACCTATCAGTCATGTCCAATGTCGATATATCAAGCGATGGCCTTATTGGGGTCGATTACGACTCCAGAGGCTATCTACAACACTGGCCAGTAGTAGATCAGCCCCCACGGTCCGAAGAAGGCCACGGTCTCTCGCCTTTGCAAACCAGCGGTCACCCTCTAGAACAGTCGGTGACCCAGGATCCGAATCTCATGGTCGATTGGCACTTTCAACCGCTACAACACACCCCTCACCAGCAACACCTTCCATATTCACCCGAAGACCCGTCAGCGCCGCAATTTACCACGAGTTATGGCATGCCCATGCAGTCTTCCCCGGTGGATCTCATGACTGGCCAGGGCCAGATGAACGCCGGCTTGCTCGATGGTCCTTATCTACCCATGTCAGCACCGGTTGATATGGTGCCATTCACGTATCAGGACTTTCAAGCGGATCTGATGGCGTTCCCCAACGGACCTCCGGACTTCTCATATGCCCCGCACCCCGTGCTCGAGAGCAGCTCCCCCACGGATACATATCTGGAAGTCCGCTCCCTGACCAGTTCCAGCAGCGACAACGGTTGGAGTACTGTGGACCATCGCCGCTCTCTCGACTTTGGCTTCCCTGAACAAGGTGTTTTCGTCAATCCCACTCAGACACTGCACGACCGCAGCCTTTCAGAGTCTTCATATTCCACCTCATACGGCAGCTTTGTGGATATTGCGAATCCGATCGGCTCCCCAGGCTCCGAGAACAACATGGACTTACCCTGTTATAACCATGGCCATGGCCACAGTCACAGCCATAGTCACAGCCATAGTCATAGTCACAGCCACAGCAGCTCGATCGGCATGCCTCACCCTTCCCCGACCAGCAGCGCCGTCGTTCGTCGTGAGCAATCCTCGTCAGGCTCTCGTTCGCCATCCGCCGTCAGCCCCAGTGGAATGGTGCGGCCGATTCCAGTTCCGATCAAGAAGTCCACATCGCCCGCCCGCTCATCGGGATCTTCCCAGGCATCGTCGGCCTCGCCACCAAGCCGGAAACCATCCCGCAAGAGCCCCATTGCCGCCAAAACATCCGAGACCAAGGTCCGCAAGCAGTCCCAGACCGGTAAGCCTGAGACTGAAAAGCGGGTCGGCAAGAGAAAGGGCCCTCTCAAGCCCGACCAGCGCAAGCAAGCCAGCGAGATCCGGAAGTTGCGTGCTTGTCTGCGTTGCAAGTTCCTCAAGAAGACTTGTGACAAGGGCGAGCCGTGTGCAGGATGCCAGCCATCCCACGCCCGGTTATGGCAGGTGCCATGTACTCGCATTGATATCAAGGAGATTGGGTATTTCATGAAGGACTGGAAGGCCGATTACGAGCGCCATATTTCCATGGGATTCTCGGTCGGCAATATCAAGGGATTCTCCGACCAGGAGCGCACGCTGTTCATCACTCACGGGTATGGCCAGATCCTGCCGATCAACGCCCGCGAGGTGTATGTGCGAGATGAGCAGTGCTTCACCGTCGACTGGATCGAGTCGATGCAGCGTGATCCGACACAGTACGAGGTCGAGACTGCGAAGCTCTCCGCTGGTATGGAGGGTATCTCGCATGCCATGCTATCTGACTATCTCGACCGTCACATCGACGGCAACGGTACCTTTGAGAAGTTTGTCGATGACTACTTCGAGGGCACACCGTTCCTGACACAGATGCTCAAGACTGCTTTCCGCTTCTACTTCCGCACCAAGCTACCTGTCATCCGCAAGGCGCTGAAACTAATCGTTGCCTACAATCTTACCCTCCATGTTACCATGGTTGAGGGTATCGGCGAGGAGGAAGGTTTCGTGGGCAAGATTGAGGACAAGTCCTCCAAGTTCTCTGGCAAGACCATGGCTCCCGTCATGATCAATTTCCAGATCAAGTGTGCCATGGCTAGCATGTGGCGTGAGCTGCAGAAGGATGTGCTGGAGGAGCTTTCAGCACTCTATTCGAGCGTGTACAGTGGAGACAAGCTGAAGAACTGGCCCACGATTTTCATTCTGGCCTCCATTTTGCTGGCAGTTTGGGAGGAGATGCAGTTCGACAGCCACTACCGCACACCGGTAAGTTCGAATCCGAAACGAGAATAATGCACAGCCATACTAACCATGAGTAGGACCATGCTGCCGTAGACAAATTCTGTACCGACATGGAGACCACCCCGGTGGGAGTCATTGTCGGACTCTTCCAGGCTATCTCCCAGAAGCTGCCTCCCTTCACCGAATGGGACTCGCAAAAGCACCACCAACTCCTCTACTCCAACCCCGATGTCTGTAACACGATGACAGAAGTGCGCCAACACGTCGAGCAGCATGGTAAGAACCACCCCCTTCCCACTCTGTGGATTCTTGACTAACCCACATTCCAGAGAGCTACCTCCGCAGCCGCTCCGGCTCCAAATTCAACCGGGGCGATTTCGACTGCCTATCAAATAAGTTTGTGTCGCGACTGGTGATTCGCGCCAACTAAATGACCCGATGCGCAAACGCGTTATGATGATGATATTTACACGACTATTGTTTCCAGCAGCGAGTACAGTTCCGCGATTTCGTTTTTGATTTGCTCAATGACACGAACTGGATGAGAAAATATGCCAACTTGGTCGTGACGATGCGCGAGCGCATACGTTTCCACTCTTTTAACGATGACTCCGACGGACACCTCCTAGTGAGGTGGCCCTCTTGCTTGTATTGTGGTTCCCAGGGTGAACCGACTTTCATTAGCTCTTTTTTTCAGCCTTGTTTTGGTCTTGTCTCATTTACTCATTTTATTTTATTTTTCCTGTCTCCTTGGTCATTGTCAATTTTTTCACACATTTTTTTTAACTTGTTACTTTGCTCTTGTCTTTGGTGTATACCTTTCTTCGCATAGCTTTGTCTCCAGCGATGAACGAGGATCAATCACGACTGTCATGACCGTGTACGGCCGAAGGTGTTTTTTTGTTTTGTTTTCATTGTGGCACCTGGCACCCGCCACTGACGCAACAATCAAAGTTTACCAGGCTCTGAAGGTGAAGAACGGGGTGTTGCAGACTGTCCCAATTGTCACGACCTTTGGATCCGGGAAGAGGCGTCGTCGGACCAGTGTGGATTTTCCAAGCGTTTGTTTATATATTGCTTATTGAATGGGCTTCGGGCCATATACTCCGTGAAATCTCTTTAAATTCAACCTTAGTGTAAGGGTAAGTGTTGACTACTGAAGTATAACGAGGCGGTGTAACCGGATCCGGGATATCATCTGACCTGAGCTAAGTTTGGAAGCGGGTACAGGGTACCCGAGGCGCAGAGGCAGTTGCCGCATACAGCCCCGTACCAAGTACCTTCTGGCATTAGCGTAGGCCCACCCCCTCTTTTTGCGATAAGCAACGTCATCACCCCTTGGAACATTGCGGTAAGTGAAAGAAATAGCTACAGTACTCCGTTGTGGTATGGCAGAAGTATAATATATCGATTAATAAGCTATTTTCTAGAATGTTTACCCGACAGGTTGAAATTTTCGGTGGTGGCGTCAACGATAGGCAGGAGTGATAGGCTGTTCCCAGGCACCCTCTTGACTCACATCCGGCATCTTCTGGCACAAGCCACTGGCCATCTCGCGTCACTTTGCCTGACTAAGACGCTTCGCCCCCTCATCGATACATAAGCCGACTTTCCCCTCTCTTTTCCTTTCAACTCTCCGGTGCTCTTCTACTTTCCCACCTTCCCATACTCTTTCTACTGCGTTCACTGAATCTAATTTCAATCTTGCAACCATGCAGATCTTCGTCAAGACCCGTGAGTTCCCCTTGTCCCTGACCGACTTCACCCGGCTTCCCGGCTTTCCTACTTCCCTCGCCACCTGGCCGCCGGCTTCTTTGACAGTCTTGCTAACATTCTTTTGCCACTAGTGACCGGCAAGACCATCACTCTCGAGGTTGAGTCTTCCGACACCATCGACAATGTCAAGTCCAAGATTCAGGATAAGGAAGGCATTCCTCCTGACCAGCAGCGCCTGATTTTCGCAGGCAAGCAGCTTGAGGATGGCCGTACCCTGAGCGACTACAACATTCAGAAGGAGTCCACCCTTCACCTTGTCCTCCGCCTCCGTGGTGGTATGCAAATCTTCGTGAAGACCCTCACCGGAAAGACCATCACTCTTGAGGTTGAGTCTTCCGACACCATCGACAACGTCAAGTCCAAGATTCAGGATAAGGAGGGTATCCCTCCTGACCAGCAGCGTCTGATCTTCGCCGGAAAGCAGCTTGAGGATGGTCGCACTCTCTCCGACTACAACATCCAGAAGGAGTCCACCCTCCATCTCGTCCTCCGCCTCCGTGGTGGTATGCAAATCTTCGTGAAGACCCTCACCGGAAAGACCATCACTCTGGAAGTAGAGTCATCGGACACCATCGATAACGTCAAGTCAAAGATCCAGGATAAGGAGGGCATCCCCCCTGACCAGCAACGTCTCATCTTTGCTGGTAAGCAGCTGGAGGATGGCCGCACCCTGTCCGACTACAACATCCAAAAGGAATCCACTCTACACCTTGTCCTCCGTCTCCGAGGTGGTATGCAAATTTTCGTCAAGACACTCACTGGCAAGACCATCACGCTGGAAGTGGAATCATCTGACACCATCGACAACGTTAAGAGCAAGATCCAGGACAAGGAGGGTATTCCCCCAGATCAGCAGCGTCTTATCTTCGCCGGTAAGCAGCTGGAGGACGGGCGCACCCTCTCTGACTACAACATTCAGAAGGAGAGCACCCTGCACTTGGTGCTCCGTCTGCGTGGTGGTCAGTAGATGATGTACACGATGCTTCTTTGTTTCTCGACTACGATGGGTTCTACATGACCTGCATGGCGTTTGGTCGGTTTTTCGAAGCTGAGGCTTCCGTTTTTACTTTTTATCTTTGCCTTTCCTTCAATGTTCACGTTCACACCTCTGTTCTTATCCTTGATGTGATCACCTAGTTCTATCTACTAGTTATCCTATGAATTGTACCAAGCCTTACTTGCTGGTCTCTACTTTTTTTTTCTTGTGTTGAATATGGTAGATATATGCGTAGAATGTCAGTGTAGACTGCTTTACATTTTCAGCCTTGTATACATCATCCGCGTTGTGCTCTATCCACAGTAGGTGGAGACGTAGATCCCAAAGCAAAACCTATAGTGGGCACATCAAGGGGGCACATTAGACAACTTGCTACAATTCTGGCTCTTGCCACCTTACCTTCACAATTATCCAACAAACCTTCTACAATCATCTAAATTTTTCTTTTCTTTGCCTCTTTGCCACTCACCGGTGCTAGGAACCGGTGGCACCTCACCGCCCTCACCGCCTTCACTTCCCGACCTCAGGATATCCAAAGATTAGGTAAGCCCATCCTTATCAGCCGTTATCATCACTGTACTTTCAACATCTCGAACCTCCAGGCAATGTGATCCCATCACTCGGGATGCCCGCTTACTTCTATCATATAAATGTTCAGGTCCTCTCGCACAATCCAGATAGCCTGGCATCAGCGGGTTCCTCTCTGGCCTTGCACTCTGCAAGGGAAGCTTTCCAACCGTTCCAACGAAGCAAGTCTCCAAGCTCCAGTCGCTTGTCACCAATATCAGGGACAGGCGCTGGAGACAACCAGGCACTGAGCACACAGCAAACTCTCGCGCATCGCCAAAAACATCCCTCTACCCTCTCTTCACCTGTCACAACAACCCCACCGCGAACCAGTTCCTCCCGCTCTTCCCCGGACACCTTATCCTCCACCTCCTCCACTTCACCAAGCTCCAAACCCACACCTACACTCCTCAAAACCGACAAGCGCTTCGGCGCTGTCACAATAGAGTGCATTGACATGGTCACCCCACCAAAAGACACCGCAAAACGCAGCTCAAAGCGCAGCTCCGCCCAAGAACCGGAGAACCTAGTAGCAGCCGGAATCGGCACCGACATCCTCGGCGGACTGCGCACAAAAGGTCGCTACATCCCCCTCGACCAAAAAGTCACCGACAGCATCTGGGGAATTGTCCATCTCTACCGCGACACGCAGGAAACGCCCTACCTCGCCCGCGATGACGACTACCCCACCTACCTAAAGGGATCCGCGGCTGCAGCGCGGAACCCGGGCGAGCAGCAGGCTACGCTACGGGGACATTTGTCGGGAGTTGCTTCGCCGGGCGGTTCTGCTGCGGGCGCTACGGCGTATCCGTTCCCTGCGACTGCTTCTTCGTCTGCGTTGCATCCTGATGGGGATTGTACTACGCTGTGCATTCTCGCTGTGCCGTCTTATTTGTCGCCTCCTGACTTTCTGGGGTTCGTCGGAGAGGAGACTAGGGATGAGGTTAGTCATTTCCGAATGATTAGGACTGCGCGTGCGAATCGGTATATGGTTTTGATGAAGTTTCGGAGTGGGAGGAAGGCGGTTGAGTGGCAGAAGGAGTGGAATGGGAAGGTTTTTAATAGCATGGAGGTATGTCGCCATGTTGGATTCCTGCTATTGGAGAGAGGGTTTTATACTGACTGACTTTGCTAGCCTGAAACCTGCCATGTGGTGTTCGTTAAGACGGTTGAGATCCAGGTTGTGGAACCAGAATCCTCAGCTGCTTTCTCGCCGGATGAGCATGGTGCTCTGTTGTCACCCAATCTCTCGACTCCTACTCGGCCTCCCGTTTCTTCTGCTGGGCAGGCAACTCTCACTGGGAAACCTCTCGCACCGCCTACTCCCGCCCTGATCGAATTGCCCACATGTCCCGTTTGCCTAGAGCGAATGGATGAGACCACAGGATTACTTACAATCATCTGCCAACACGTCTTTCACTGCACCTGTCTGCAGAAATGGAAAGGCAGCGGTTGCCCTATCTGCCGGTACACACAGGACGACTTCCGCAAAAGCAACGCTGACGCTGAAACCGACGCTGAACCCCAAGAATGCGCAGTATGCCACGCGGACATGAACCTCTGGGCTTGTCTAATCTGCGGAACTGTCGGTTGCGGCCGCTATGACGGCGCCCACGCCTTCGAACATTACAAAGAAACAGCCCACGCCTTCTCAATGGATCTCACCACGCAACGAGTATGGGACTATGTAGGCGACGCCTACGTCCACCGCATCATCCAAAGCAAAACAGACGGCAAGCTCGTCGAACTCCCAGCAGCAGACCACAGCGCCCTCGACCCACCAGATTGGGGCGACGCCGTGCCCCGCGAGAAACTCGAGAACATGAGCGTCGAATACACCCACCTCTTAACCAGCCAACTCGAAAGCCAACGCGCCTACTTCGAAGAAGTCGTCGAGCGTGCCGTTGACAAAGCCTCCCAAGCCAGCGCCGCAGCAGCCGCAGCAGAAATCTCCGCTAGCACCGCCTCCTCCCAGCTCGAGGACCTCCAATCTAAATATGATACACTCTCGCTAGAAACGATCCCCTCGCTAGACCACGACCGTTCCCGCGCCGAGAAACGCGCCGACAAGTTCGAGGCTCTGGCTCGTATGTTTGAGAAGAATTGGCAGGAGGAGAAATCCATGAATGGAAATATGATGCAGCGGCTTGATCTTCTCACTGCAGAGGTTGAGGATCTGAAGGCTTCGAATGCCGATCTCGCAGAGCAGAATCGCGATCTTACTTTCTTTATTAGTGGGTCGCAGCGCTTGCAGGATCAGGGCGAGGAGGTTACTGAGGGTACGGTTAGTATTCCTGATCCTGCTAAGAAAAAGAAGGGGAAGGGGAAGGGTAAGAGATAGATCGATGCTTTGTTGAGTGTTTCTACTCCAAGCAGTATACCTCCTTTTTCTCTTTGTTTGTTTCTGAATGTGAGCGCTTTCTTGTTCGGAGTTAATGTGTTATGAGCAAAATTTGTACTTGTGCTTGGTCTGTTTTTCGGACAGGCTCGCCTTGTATTGTACATAGTATGTGTGTATAAGTACACTGGATGAGTTATAAGTTAAATGTCAATATCAATATCATATATCAATATCAATATCATATATCAATATCAATATCATATATCAATATCAATATCATATATCAATATCAAGAAGAGGTTCCATCTTCACAACACCCATAACAGCAAAACATATTCAAACAAGGTAAAATAAAACAAACAAATCAATTCTAATATACAATCCCTACAAAAATGCAAAATGCAATATACACCCAACACAAACACAATCAAACTCCCTTCCTAACAGCCCAAAAATAATTCCCCCAATCCTCACTCCCAGGAACCATCTTCCACCCAAAGCCAGGAACATAAACAGCACCCACACACTTCCAACTCATACCCTCTGCAACACCAGCCCCACCCCTCGAAACACCCGTGTCAGCAGCCCTCATCAAACCCTCCTGCAACCACCCCTTAACCTCAGGCGGGTTAACAAACTTGCTCCACTCATGCGTGCCACGCGGCACGACACCGATAGGCCACGGCGCTTCAGCGATGAGTTGGTTTAAAATGAACGATGGCACCGTGCGTGAAATTGTTGAGCCGATTAGCCAGCCGCCTGGCTTTAGGGCTCGTAGGCAGTTTGTTAGGAATGTGAGGGGGCTGGATGTTTTGGGGTCGATGTGTTCGAGGACTTCAAAGAGGGTTACGATGTCGTATTGGGGTGGGGTTGTGGTGGCGGTGGTGGTGGTTGTTGATTCGGGAGATTGAGTTGAGGCAAGTACATCCTCCAGCGTCGTGTTCAAGTACTTAAACTTCCCACTCCGCAAATGCGCATCAACGGTCGGATCCATGCGCGCATGCTCGCGCGCAATCTGGATTAGATTCGTCGACGGGTCAATGGCTGTCATTGAAGCGGCGCGCGTGGGTGTTGGCGCGGCGGTGTTCGGGTCCAGGGGGATCGTGCGAGCAAGCGATTCGGCGAAGATGCCGCCGCCGCAGCCGACGTCTAGGTAGTTGAAGGTTGCGGAGTTGGGGGTGGAGGGTGAGGGGGCTGTTTCGGTTGAGCCTTCGGCTAGGCAGGATGCGATGAACTCGTGTCGGAGGGGGTTCATTAGGTGCAGGATTCGGGAGGGGCCCATTGGGTCCCACCAGGAGCTGGCCAGCCCTGAGAAGTGGGAGAGTTCATCGGCTGAGACGGAGGATGTTGAGTGTTTGCGGATTGGGGTTGGGGTTTGCGTTGCCGGTTGGATGTTTGGGCGTGCGGAGAGGGTTGATTCCAGTGGTGAGGGTCTTGTGAGTGGTTGGATTGAGCGGAGGGCTCGGAGGGGAGTTGTCCTTGGTCGGAGGGAGGCCATTTCGGGTGTTGAGGTGTGGGTAGTGGAGGGTAATGGAGAATTAGCTCTAGAGGGTTGGGGCTCTGGGAGCTTTGGATGATGCGGAACCCGGGTTTGTTCTCTGTCAAGGATAATTAGTTTTTGCCATGTGCTGATTGGCAATAAGAGCAATTGAGTATATACCAGTTGAGCATTATATGGGCTGTTGCGAGCAATTGGGAAAGAAGTCGCATGAAGCTGATCGTCAAATTGGAGATTCGCCGATACCGAAACAAACATGCCAAGGCCGTTGACGGTCGAGTCACGTGGTAGAGAGGACTACATCAACAAACTACATCAAAATATATGCACTCTAATAGATGTGTACTAGAGTCAATGAATACCTAGGATAATTGTTCCTCAAATAGAGCTGTGAAACTTCAAAATGAAATAAATCAAATCATTTTAAGTGTGTTTATGGTAAAAGTGCCATCTCACGAACTTTATCTGACTTAAAAATCATACATCGAAGATAGAGTTTGATATTGGGAAAGTATTTCGTGCTTTTTTTCTATTCTGGTTTTATTTTTCTCGTAGGTTTCGATTTGAAGAAGGGCAGTTTCAAAAAAATTTGGGGAACAAAATGGCGGATTTCGTGCACATTTTACTGGTAAGAACGGTAAATCATGAACATTTTGACCCCAAATTTTTGGATTTTTTAACTTTTTGGGTGTCAAAAAAGTAATTTCTCGTAGGATTTTTTCAGATCAGAATGATTTTTCGTAGGTTAGTTTTATATCCCAGAGGTATTTCAGTGCTCCAGCTCACTCTCACCCAACCCCGTCGTCGACGAAAACAAATGTAGTCTACTCTTATCTACCATGATTGATGTCGAGTCTAATGCTTCAGGCTCTATGATAGCCTTGTTTCCTTCCTGAGGATATTTCCCTCCCTCTTCATCGGCTTCTGATAGTGCATCCAAGATTCATTCTCCTACTTCTTCGTAACTTGTTTACAACGACGTACTTGCAAGACCTTTATTGAATGATTCGTTTGCTCGTGTTCTCTGTATCCAATACCAATGATGCTCCATCCCAAATCTCCATCTATAAACTCCAGTGGTATCATATGCTGCAACCCGCATCCCAAATCAACAGAAGAGCGACAATCACCCCAACAGACAACTCTGGAAGCCAAGTTCCCGTGGCACCGACTCAATTTGGTCATGATCGACCTCATGCATCTCGCGGATGTCCTCTGAGCCAGCAGAATAATCCCAAACATGTTGGCCTGACCACGAAGCCAAGTGATCCGGCACTGCAGCACCGAGGATAGGCAGGAAGTTCCCCGTGTTGATGGTGCCATCTAGCCCCAGCACGGCTTTGCATCGCTCCAGTAATGTCGGCAAGAGGTATGAAGGCGAGCCACGAATCTGGGAAAGCGTGTGAAGTATTCCCCACAGCAACTCGTTCGGGTCGATTGTCGACTCGGCTAGTCGTTGGACGGCTTTTGATCCTAGAGATCCTGTAACATCTGCAACAGAAGCACCCATGTCGAAAAGTTTCTGTTCCTATGGCACAATCAGCATTTGAAGGGGTCTCAGTATCGGGAGTGACTTACCATTCCAATCCCATGTGCATCCACCGCCCCTTGCGATGCAGCACCGATCACACCCATCATGGCTTTGCCCACCATCACTGGGAGGTGGAATGGAAGCACTGCATCGTCGCAGGAGCCAGGTTGCGTGGCATGGCTCATGGACAATTTCCACATCATTGCTTGCAACCATTGCTGCGTGATCAAGATATCAACTTGCTGGATCTCAAGTACTCCATCCAATGAGATATTCTTGCATAGACCCGACTGGATTGCGGAAGTCGATGGTCTCTCCAAAATGCCATCTCCGCCTCCGGCCGATAGCCAATCGTATAGGTCTGGTGTGAGCTTTTCGAAGATGTTGATCAAGTTGATGAACCCATATGCTAAGATAGGATCTTCCGAGCCAAGCACCTGTGGCTTATGAATCGAGCTGCGCAGCATGACTGGTTTGGCTTGTTGAAGAGCATATCCCCTTCGCTCAGATTAGTATCAGTCCACGCCATCCACCATCTAATCCACTCACCTCTCCGTGACAAACAACAGCCAAAATATGCGTCGCCTTTCCTCGGCTTCTTCCACACTATAATCCGCAAATGTCGATTCACGATGTAGACCAAGCGTAAACGCCATCGAGGTAGCCTGACACAAATAATGCCAGGCATGATCCTGCCGATCCAGATTCCCATATGAGGCAAACAAAAAGAACGAAGTCAACAATGACTCCGTACTCAACTCCTCCACAACATCGCATTCGCGCCGCGCCCGCACGGCCTCAGCCAGGAGTTCTTCACCCGACATCAACGAATGACCATCCCCGATGCTCTGCAATCGAGCTGGATCTGGAACCGGTGTGGCGCCATCTAACTTTAACTGGATATGCGTCGCGGCACAGAGAGACGCCAGAAACGCATACCGCTTTGGCGACAGCCGTGCCGGCTGGTGGCTATCCAGACGCAGCTGCTCGTCGCGCACGACTGGCATGATCGGGAATAAATATTTCAGATAGACATTAACATGCGCGAGCAGAATCTGTGGCGAGAGACGTCTCGCATGTGGAAGTGCATATCCATTTGCCGATTCGACTGTTGAATCTGTCGATCCTGGCGATGAAACGAGTTCCGGTGGTAGATGTGAAAAATGATCGGAAAAGTCTTGGCTGGCGAATTGTGAATCGGCGATATTGAATGGTGAAATGGGAGACTCGAATCGGTACGGGACATCCTTCTCGGGATACACTTCGGGGGCGTCGCGGGCTGGATTGACGGGAGCCAGCGGGTAAAGCGTTCGGAATTTCGGTCCTTTGCGACGGAGGACATCGCTATAGGAACATGATAACAGGAGCCGTTGGCATTTATCGCAGGGTTGTTCGCGGGAACATTTTATTTTGCGGCGGCGGCAGTTGTCGCACGCTTGTTTCGGCTTGTCCATTTTTGAATTTGAAGGCTGATGTTAGAGAAGTGAAGATAGAAAACTCGACATTATAACTTAACAGAATAACAGAACCTGGGGAAGGGCGGGGTGGAAAATCCCCGCAAGGCCCCTGCACTTCTTCATATAAGAATCGTGAGATCAGGGGCAGTGTCGGCCCGAGTTCGCTTGCATGTTTCTGTCTGTTCCCTGCTGATTTGGTGGTCTACAAGGTCCGTGATTGACATCCTCGTTCTACTCCCTCTTCCTATTCCGACTGATCCGGTATACGGGTACATGTACACCAGGTACACTCTCAGATATACGCCCCTCGCCAGGTCGAGATCTGATGCCCTCATGAGCCAAGTCATCTATGCCTGACATCTCAGGGCTCCGACTGTAAGCCAAGTGGGTTGGGATGCGCGATTTTCCACCGCCGCTTAACCTGATTAATATGGAGTGGACACTAGCCTCGCTCCACGAGTGGCCTGTCATCCCTCTTCCAATCAACTTCTTCACGGCTTCTCACTAGACCCAGTATATTCTGGACCTGGCTCTGGCTCTGGATCTGGATCTGACTCTGGAAATGCCGGCAATATCTCTTTCCCTCGGGAAGCCGAGAGGCAGCAAAAAGGACATTCGCGGGATTCCCTACCCTTGGATCATGCCATATTCAATAATGAGTTTATTTGGCTTCTCTCATAGCTTCAGAAGAAGTAGGACTGGTCCCCAGATATCCAGAAAAAAAAAGCCGAGGTTCCAGCGAAAGTAGAGCTCCAGAGTTACTCCAGGTTTCTCGCATTTTGCTTCCCGGACGAGTGCTTATAAGCTTCTCCACTAGTGAGAAAAGACTCACCGCAGCTCGGCATTTCACCTATGATGCCCATTCCATCGTGTCCGAGAGCTTGTTGACTTGCCAGACGGACATTTATCGGGCAATTAACCAATCACAGGCCACAAATCTGGTGATCGACACTCTCTTCGCTGTGGATGTATGATTATCCCAATTATCGTCATTTTATGTCGTACTACTCACTTGCTTTGACTCTATTTTTGCCGACTGCTACGTTGGAAAAGTATTGTGGAACTATGACATTGTGGCACTTCAGAGCTTCAAAATTGGAGCCTTGGCCTCTTTGCGGCTATACAATATGGATGGCCTAATCAGACTGACAACGGCATTGGACTCTTCTCCAGAAGCATTACTAGTTTGCAATTAACTCATTCATACAGTGGGGTGTGCTTGACACCCCTTGAATGATGGCTTGGAACACGACTCGCAAAACGGTGAAAGAAGGGCGAAATTCTGATAGGGTACGATTTCCTCCAACTGTACATGGGCGATGTTAGTGTACAGACCTGGATTCCATTCTGATCTGCATTGATCAATGCCCTGTCCATACAGCTTTCCGGTTGCACTACATGCACTTCCCAACGCAAGGGACGATCTCCACATTGCCCAGCCCCAGCTTCAGTCGCCTCACCCCGCAAAAGCATTCAGCCACTCGGGAAGGGACGCGATTCGGCATATCCAGTTTCCCTACGTAACATCGGAGAATCAACGGAGATTCATTCTCATGCCGGTCTCGGGATGTCGGTCTAATTCTCGGGCAAACCTGCAACTGTTGTACCATAGTGCAGCGACCCGTGCTCCGAGCAACTATAAAAACGACCCAGGTTGGACATGCAGTGCTAAGCATCAGCCTTTCTTCTCAACAATTGACTCGGAAATCGGTTGCCATGGTTGGTTTATCGGATTTCATCGTGGGTGCTTGCCTTGTGCCGGCTGCCTACGGTGCTTTCTCTACATCTGCCTCCAAGGCTTCTTCCCATTCTGCTTCTACTTCTGCGTCCTCTACTTCGGCTGCTGCATACTCCCAGTTTAGTTTGCCTGCTAATGCGGATGCTGGTGCCAACCTGATTGCCAATATCGATGATCCTGATGCTATTAATGCCCAGTCGGCCTGTCCTGGGTATAAGGCATCCAATGTGAAGGAGTCTCCTAGGGGGTTGACCGCCACTCTGAAGTTGGCTGGCAAGGCATGCAATGCCTACGGTACGGATGTGGACTCGCTGGACTTGTCGATTGAGTACCTCGCCAATGATCGACTCAATGTTCAAATTGTCCCAACTTACATCGATTCGTCGAATGCCTCTTGGTTCTTGTTGGATGAGAATACCGTCCCTCGAGCCAAGTCGGATGAGCATGCTTCAAAGAAGGATAGCGATCTTGAGATCACTTGGTCTAATGAGCCTTCCTTCCAGTTCAAGGTTACCCGCAAAGCTACTGGTGATGCCATATTTGATACCACCGGCTCGCGCTTGGTGTTTGAGGATCAGTTTATTGAGTTTGTGACCTCCTTGCCCAAAGACTACAATCTTTACGGTATTGGAGAGCATCTTCAGCAGCTGCGCCTCTTGGACAACCTCACCTTGACTCTCTATGCGTCGGACCAGGGTGACCCAATCGACGAGTAAGTTGTATTTGAGGTAGACCTCTTTGTTCTTGACACTAATTATTCAATCAGCAATGTGTATGGGTCTCATCCTTTCTATCTCGACACCCGCTACTACGAGGTCAATGATAACGGCGACCATACCCTGGTTGCAAGTGCCAAGGCTGATCAGTCTAAAGACTATGTCTCCTACTCGCATGGTGTCTTTTCACGAAACGCTCATGGCCAGGAAGTAATCATGCAGCCCGAGGGATTCAAGTGGCGCACTCTGGGAGGGAGCATCGATCTCACCTTCTACTCGGGACCTACCCAGGCCGATGTCACCAAGAACTACCAACTGAGCACCATTGGACTGCCTGCATTGCAGCAGTACTTTACTCTTGGTTTCCACCAGTGTCGCTGGGGATACAAGAACTGGACGGCTCTTGAAACTGTCGTTTCAAACTTCGAGAAGTTTGAAATCCCGCTTGAGACTATCTGGTAATTTGGTTCATTCATCATTTTAGTAGGAGCAGTTTGCTAATCTATTCAGGAACGACATTGATTATATGCATGCCTACCGTGACTTCGAAAATGATAAGGACCGCTACTCCTACAGTGAGGGTGAAGAGTTCCTTAACAAGCTGCACAATAGTGGCCGTCATTACGTTCCTATTATCGACTCCGCCATCTACATACCGAATCCTAACAACGAATCTGATGCGTAAGTCTATTGTGTGCTCTCAATCAAACATCTTGCTGACAGTAGTCCAGCTACGAGACCTATACTCGCGGTCACAAGGGCAATGTCTTTTTGAAGAACCCCGATGGAAGTGAATACATTGGAGCTGTCTGGCCCGGATATACAGTTTTCCCTGACTGGCATAACCCTAACACAAGCGATTTCTGGACGAACGAGATTGTAGCTTACCAGAAGAAGATTGCACTCGACGGTATCTGGATTGATATGAGCGAAGTCTCTTCTTTCTGTACTGGTAGCTGCGGATCTGGCAATCTCAGCCTAAACCCCGTCCACGGTACCTCCTTGCCCGGAGAGCCTGGCAATGTGATCTACGACTACCCTGAAGGATTCGAATTGACGAACAAGACTGAGGCTGCTTCCGCGTCGTCAGCATCATCTAGCCAAGCTGCAGCCGCGACAAGTGGCTCTGAGCCGTCTTCCAGCGTCTCCTACTTGCGAACTACACCCACTGCTGGTGTGCGCAACATCAACTACCCGCCATATGTGCTCAACCACGACCAGACCGGTCATGACCTGGCCGTCCACGCCGTGTCTCCCAATGCCACTCATTCCGATGGGGTCCAGGAATACGACGTGCACAACCTCTTCGGCCACCAAATCCTCAACGCCACCTACAACGGTCTGAGAGCAGTCGACGATCAGAAGCGCCCCTTTATCATCGGCCGCTCAACATTCGCCGGCTCCGGCAAATGGGCCGGTCACTGGGGCGGCGACAACTACTCCAAGTGGGCCTATATGTTCTTCTCAATCCCACAAGCCCTCTCATTCTCCCTCTTCGGAATCCCAATGTTCGGCGTCGACACCTGCGGCTTCAGCGGCAACAGCGACGAAGAACTCTGCAACCGTTGGATGCAACTATCTGCCTTCTTCCCCTTCTACCGAAACCACAACACGCTCTCAGCGAACTCGCAGGAACCCTATGTCTGGGAATCCGTCATCGACGCCACAAAAACCGCCATGAATATCCGCTACGCCATCCTCCCTTACTTCTACACCCTCTTCCACGAAGCGCACACAACCGGTTCAACCGTCATGCGCGCGCTAGCCTGGGAATTCCCAACAGATCCATCCCTAGCCGCAGTCGACACCCAGTTCCTACTCGGTCCATCAATCATGGTCGTCCCAGCCCTAGCACCCCAAGTCACCACCGTCAAAGGTGTTTTCCCGGGCATCAAGCATGGCGAAATCTGGTACGACTGGTACACCCAAACCGCAGTCAACGCGGAACCAGGCGTAAATACTACCATCCCAGCCCCACTGGGCCACATCCCCGTCTTTGTGCGCGGTGGCAGTGTCCTGCCCATGCAAGAGCCCGCATTGACCACCAAGGAAGCGCGGAACACGCCATGGTCGCTCCTGACTGCGCTTTCTAGCAATGGTACCGCGGCCGGTGATTTGTATATCGATGATGGAGAGAGTGTTGAGCCTGATGCTACGCTGAATGTGGTTTTCAAGGCGCAGGCTTCGAGTTTGAGTGCTCGCGCTAAGGGGGACTGGAAGGAGTCGAATCCTCTGGCTAATGTTACTGTCCTGGGTGTGTCTGAGAAGCCTGGTTCTGTTACGCTTAACGGCAAGGCTGTCCCTGCTTCTTCTGTGCGGTACAATGCCACGGCGCATGTGTTGTCCGTTGGTGGGTTGGAGAAGTTTACGGAGGAGGGTGCTTTTAGTGAGAGCTGGGTGCTTAAGTGGTAGATGAAGAGGAGTATTGACTAATGTGTCTGCTGCAGTGGTGCTAAAACTGTGTCGCTCTTATATACTCTGTGGACCTCAATATCAATAGACTGCATATAGATTGCAACTCTGAGTCTATCTCTTTTACTATTACACTGTAGACTGTAGAATATAGGATCCATACAAGGGTCTTGCCTTAATTAACTGAGCAAGGCTAGTAAGAAACATTTCATATTCTGCCGATCGCATTGCCAAATCGCCCATGAACATCCATAGATTCCGATCCCCATCGAGATGCAATCATCAGTCTCGGACTGCATTGCAAAGTCGGCCTAAATATAGAGGACTCGTTTTCAGCCCCATAGATACATCCCCTCAGCGTAAGCGATACATAGTGAAAAAAAGAAAAAAGAAAAGAAAGAAAGACATAATAGGCCCTATCCGACATCGCACGAACCCAGCAAGGTAGAAAACCAGCTCCGACTAAAGCCCGACAAAAAGATCAACACCCGTGTCCCATTGCAACCCTATCTCCATCCGGCAACCCTGCAAATTTGGGGTCCAAGTCCAAGTCCTCTCTGCACGCTGATTCGACCGGCCGTGTCAGGGGTTTTCAATGCTGACAGGGATGTTTAATTTCCCACGGGCTGTAACGCGACTAATCATCCTTCATGACATGTGAATTTATAGACTCGTGTCCCGTACTCGTGAAAGAAACTATACTTGTGGAAAGGGCATGGAAGGATCGGGATTGTGGGTTCGTCTTATGGGCGCGCAATGCTTAGTGCTTAGATCTAATTAATTAGGAACTATCGTGGCTTTGTTTTCTGGATAATTTCGTTGCTTTTTCTTGTTTTGCCTTAAGTTTCTTTTCATATGATGTGTCTAGGGGCGGGAAGTTAAAGGGGATTTACACCCGCTGGCGATGTTAATTTGTTTGATTGGCTCTTGGGCGCTGTTGTGCTAGACTCGGAGATCAGTTTCTTCGTTAATTGGTTCTTTGGGGATTTTGTTCATTTGGTTTGTGGTTTCTGCTTGGGTTTTGTTATATAGAACTGTTTGCTGCGTCGTTTATTGTTTTGTTATCCCGTTAGCGTTATCTTACGCCCCTTTTTTCGTTGATTTTGGTGTCGACAGTCATACACTATGGTCCTTTTACGCTTGGCTTGGTTTGCCGGCTTGGTTGTCTCTGCTATTGCGGCTACTCCTGATCAATGGCGCTCGCAGTCGATATACTTCATGCTTACTGATCGCTTCGCTCGGACGGACGGTTCGACTACGGCGAGTTGTGATGCGAGTATGAGGGTATGACTTCCGGAGGTTGAATTAGAATGAACGGCTTGCTAACTTTTATTGAATAGAGATACTGCGGCGGAACCTGGAAGGGAATTGAGAACAAGGTAAGGGATACACACATTCGTCAACACTGTTACCAGAGCACTAACAGATTCATATAGCTCGACTACATCCAGGGAATGGGATTCACGGCTATTTGGATTACTCCTGTAACAGCCCAATTGCCCGAGGATACCAAGTATGGTGAAGCCTATCATGGCTACTGGCAGCAAGACATGTAAGTGGACTAAATAAATTTACGTGAATATGCAACATTACTGACAGAACTTAAGCTACGGTCTCAACTCACATTATGGCACGGCAGATGATCTCAAGGACCTCGCCTCAGCTCTGCATAAACGGGGAATGTATCTCATGGTTGATGTAGTAGCCAACCATATGGTTAGTCAACCCACGATCTGTGCAGCTCTCGATCTTTCTTTCTCGGTTTATATTGACTTCTATCTTTCAAGGGCTACGCTGGTTCTGGAGATTCAGTCAACTATGCCGTATTTGGCCCATTCAATGAGAAGAAATATTTCCACTCCTACTGCGAGGTCAACGATTACAGCAACCAAACCAACGTGCAAGACTGCTGGCTCGGTGATACGACTGTCTCACTACCTGATCTCGATACCGACAGTGAAGACGTCCAGAGTATTTGGTACAACTGGGTTGGGTCTTTGGTTTCTAACTACTCAAGTGAGCAGTCGTCTTCCCCATTCAATGACACAAATACTGATACTACCCAAGTCGACGGTCTCCGCGTCGACACAGTCAAACATGTCGAAAAGAGCTTCTGGCCCGGTTACAACAAAGCCGCTGGTGTGTACTGCATCGGAGAGGTCTTTGACGGCGACGCCCATTATACATGTCCTTACCAGGAAGTGATGGACGGGTTGCTCAACTACCCAATGTGAGATTCACTTTTCAGCTTCAATCATAAGCCCCTGTCTAATTGTTCAAAACCAGGTATTATCCTCTCCTCGCGGCCTTCAAATCCACAAGCGGAAGCATGAGTGATCTCTACAACATGATCAACACCGTCAAGTCAACGTGCGCCGACTCGACTCTGCTAGGGAATTTCGTAGAGAACCATGATAACCCGCGCTTTGCTTCGTAAGTGGAACTTGATCCATACTCCTGTTTCAATAGATGCTTATTTGAAAACAGCTACACTGATGACATGTCGCTCGCCAAGAATGCCGCTGCCTTCACCATCATGGCTGATGGTATCCCAATCATCTACGCCGGACAAGAACAACATTACAGCGGAGGCAGCGACCCGAACAACCGCGAGGCTACCTGGTTGTCCAAGTACAACACCAACAGTGAATTATACCAGCTCATTGCGAAGGCGAATGCTATTCGGAATCAGGCTATCTATAAGAGTGATAAGTATACCACTTACAAGGTATGGATTCAACACTCTTTAGTTTCTTCTTTTGATCTATATAGACTGACTGGACATTGCTCATAGAACTACCCGATTTATAAAGATGACACCACTTTAGCTATGCGCAAAGGCTACAGCGGCTCTCAGACCATCACTGTTCTCTCAAACCTTGGTGAGAGTGGAAGCTCGTATACGCTTTCGCTTCCTGACACAGAGTTCAAGGCTGGTGATAAGTTGGTGGAAATCATCACTTGTACTAGTGTGACTGTTGATAGCAGTGGGAAGGTTCCTGTTCCTATGGCGAAGGGACAGCCGAGGATTTTGTACCCTTCTTCGCTGATCCAGGGAGCGAGTTTGTGTGCTTAGGATAGGAGATAGGAATCAGTTCAAATTGACATGCACCATTTATTCTTTTTCTCGTTGAATAAATATAGGACCAATTGATATACTTTTGGTAATAATTGCGGACCATGCACCGGAAAACAAACCCTACATCCAGTTCCAAGAGACACACAAGTTCAAGACAATGCACTACCACCTCACCCACTCGAATAACATCTATGTCCAAGAGAAAAGAAGAAGAAGAAAAAGAAGAAAAAGCAAACCCGCTATCCATCGCCAATCCCAATCCAAAGCCAAATCCCATTCCCTATCGCAATCCAAATCCATATCCATATCCTAACCTCATAACATCATCACCAATCATGCAAAGCCCTAGGCACAAGACCAATGGGCAAAGCCCCACCAGTAACAGGAGCCGAATGATGCTGAAACAAAGCAGGCGGTTCAAACCCAGCCTGAGCAGCTCCATACCCAGGCATCAACTGATCAAGACACCCATACCCCTCAACAAGGTTATCCAAAACCTCCGCACCAGGCATTAGCTGCGACAGATCCATATTCCGTCCTTGGGGATGCGAATGCGAATGCGAATGATGCTGCGCAGACCCAGTACTAGGACCGGAACCATAAAACGGCACGCCCTTCTCATCAATCGGGGAAGAAGAAGGCAAAGAAGCATGCTCAGCAGCCGTGGCAACGACGGCCGTTGCTTCGGAATAGCGGCGCTGCACTTCGCCTACGATGCAGGCGATTCGGTAGGGCAGGTTGTCGCCGCTTGGGGCGAGGTGCAGGAGGAAGCCGCGGACTTGGCTGATTAGTGGGTCGGTGAGGTTGTAGTCGCATAGTGTTAAGGCTGCGTAGCCGACTATGAAGTAGACGTGGTCGATTAGGCTGGGCGCGGTGCTGAAGCGGGTTTGGAGGAATTTGGAGATTATTAGGCGGGCTGTGCCGCAGATTTCTGGGGTGAGGCGGTCGCTATCTGGTTGGAGGCGGGTTGCTGTTCTGTGTAGGAGGAGCTGGCAGAACCAGAGGTTTAGGTCGAGGGTTGAGTCTTCGTTGTTTGCTTGGGGGTTGTGTTAGGATGGTTGGGGATAGTCTGAGAGGGAGGGAGGATTTACTTAGGAGATGGGCCCATTCCATTTTCCAGCGCTCGATTTCTTCGTATTCGGCTTCGGCGAATTGGAGGCGGTGCTGGCTGTGTTGGAGCTTGAGGGCTATGCGATATAATTGGATTTCGGCTACTATTTTTCCGTCTTCAGGGGTGGCGGTTGCATGTTCTAGGATCCTGGGGCATTGGTCCATATGTTGCTGTTGGATGTTGACGGTGCGGCCGTTTGCGAGGGCCGAGCTATGGTTCATTGTTAGACTGGGTACTTTGGTTGGCAAGACGACGACATACTGTAATTGGGTTGCACAGAGCGTATTCCATAGACGCAGCTGGGCAAGTAGGTCATCGGGGTTGATACTATCTCTGGGGAGAGTATTGAGGAAGTTGAAGGAAATTAGGGCATGGTTGATTGAGATCCCGCTCAGCAACCAGTCATCCATCAGTCCTTCTTTATGAATCGCGGTAGAATATAGGCAAAGCAATGTCAATGCCTGCAGCATATCGCTTGTCAGGGGTGGGGGCTTCCACAGCATCTTAGCCACGGCATGTTGAACGTGGAGAGAGATATCGCGGACAGTATGCTGTGGTAAGCCAGGCAAATACCGCGCAGCAAGGAGACACGCAGTGTTGAATAAGAGTGTATTTGATCGCTGAATGCTGGACGAATGGCTTATTGAAACCCAATGGCCGAAATACTCCACAAATCTGAGACAATGTTAGCAGGAGCATGCGTCTGAGACAAAATGAAACGTACAGTTCAATCAACTTCAGGGAGAGCTTAGAGTCTACAATACCCTGAGTTACTATATCCCCAAGGATATCATCGTCGGAGGAGAAGTGGTCTCTCTCTCCAAAACATTCAGCTTGGAGGTCTCGAATGAGCTGAGCCGGCTTCAGGGGGTATAATGATGCCGACACGCTATCATTCGAGGCCTCGTCTATACTGCCGCTCCTCGCCTGCGAGTTTAATTTGCCGAACATGCTGGGGGCACGATCAACCATTTGCCGCATTAAATGGATCATCTCCCCCATGCCTCGTTCAAGAGAGACAAGCCGTTCCTCTATCGAGGGCACGGCAGTAGCATCGGACCAGGTTGATGCATTGTCCTGGAACCGCTCTGATGTCTCTGGGAGTTCACATTCGAGTCTTTAAACAAAGTAGTCAGTATATAAAGCAACTCCGGGAGTGGATTTTTGTTGTACAAAATTGCGGGCGCATTTGGGTGTGAGGGTAAGTATAAGGCGATCGCGAGGGCAAAAGTTGAACATGTGGCAGTTACAAGGGTGGCAAATGAAGAAAAAGGCCTCACAAACCTCAGGGATAGACAGCGGCGACAAGCATGACCACGCGGATCAACATCGCATCGGGTCTTGAGCTTGCGACAAGTATTACAAGCCGTCATGGATCGACGAATGCGCCCTTTGGGCCTCGCATCGTGACCAGCGACCGAGTCAATTCTGTTGCCTTCCTCAGGGGCAACGCTCTTGGTCTCCCAAGAGACGGTGTTATTTGAAGGGCCAGTTCGCGTCATTGCATTGGTTGAGTACAGCCTATTGGATCATTTATGTCGAAATAAGTGAGAAAGTGAGAAAAGATCAACAACTGGACCCTTCGGAAAGCCAAGTTTTAAAGCCTTGAAGATCATTTCTCTGCTATCAGGGAGATCCAAGCCTTATAAAAGCGGATCGCTGGTCCGAGAGAGCCTAGGAGCCAATTGCGACAAGTAAATGAGTACTGACGATATCGACTCCGCCTGCGCAGGTACGTTTGAACCCGTCTCTGGCGGACCTGGGGTAATCGAAAACGCATCCACCAATCCTGATATCTCTCGGCGGCTTCTAGAAAGGTGATGAGGGCCGGTGCTTACTGCAGACTTTCAGCACAGAGAGGGGTTGATAGACTAGTATTGGCTACAGAATATCCCCGACGAGAACCGTTGGAGAGGGGTTTAGAGTGTGTACAGTACATCTAGTATGTTAGTACGTTGCCTGTTTGGAGCTTGTTTGGAACTCTTTGTTATCTAAAATCGGCAATTCCTATCTGGCTTTGTTTGAGATATGCATTACATTGATTTGGCAATTGCATTGGTAAATGAGCATTGAGTGGAGAGGACTATAGAGGATCCAAAGTAGTGGAGGCAAGTCCGGATAATTGGCTAGCATGTGCTATTGTCTCAAAGAAGTGGCTATCAGGATTGGAGGGTTAAAGCAATGCGACACTGTAACTTTAGTTCCGGCTAACGACGGGTCTTTGGACGGCGAATGCATTAGTGTCTTTTTAGTCTTATCCATCTCCTTTTCAGTTTGCCTAGGAGGTTGGAAGCTTGCAGTCTCATGATCAGCTTCGTGTCAAATGCCTAAAAGAAAAAAAATAATAAAAAAATAAAAAGTAAGGTTAGTAGCATGGGCATATATATAAAGAATGAAGATATGAAGATAGATATCTGGTGGTCGGAATTAATTTTGACCCGGAGGTATGCGAGCCCTAGGCAGAATATTTTGCTAATCGCGCAACTCTAAGTGGTGATGCGGGAGAACATATACGACTCAGCCGAGGCCTGGTTTTTCCTGCTTCTCGGGGATCCACTTAGGGCCAATATAACTTCATGCAGAGGGGCTTAGCGCCTGCCTCTCCGAGTGTAGTGTTCTTTTCGCCCCTCGGAAAAAGCGGTCAGGATAGACCGGTTAATATATTTCTGGTTCTAACTCGAGGCTCTCTTGGCTTTCAGGAGAATTCTGGGGTAGGGACTGGTCCACATTCGTTGAGGATTGAACTAGTATGCACCCCTCCCGCTTGTTCGTTATCGTGACCCTGTATTGCGCTGTTTCATGCACGCTATCATCGCTTAATATAGTTATTGCGTAAACAGTCGACCTAGCATGGCGGTCCAAGCGGACGGAAAAAGCCGATCAAGCAATGCCCAGCGCCTCGGTGCATCTCGAACTTCCGGTGCTATGATATGAGGTCAATATATGAGCTTGGTCAGAGCTTGGATGGGGAAGAAATATCGAGCAACCTGGCCCGAGCTTAAACAACTATCTTTCAATGTTTATGCCTCGGGTTGGGGATCATAATAGACATCTCACAGGGGTGGGATGCTTCTGGAATATTTCCAAACGGGGACCACGTCGATTTCTTGCATGATGTGATAGCCCACGAAGCTTACCTTCCTATTCAGTCTAGACCTCAAGTCCCAGCACATCAGTGTAAGCCACACATCTCTCCAATCTTGCCGCCGGAGCGTCGACTCAAGCCAATCTACAGACCACACCGGTCTTCATTGGCTGACAGTAGGTTTTCTGGCTTTCTTTTTTGCTTCTCTGCATCTTCCCTGCAGGGTTGTCTGACAGCAGCTCCGCCAATGAACCGTTGCCATGAAGTCACACCACTAGAGAGATAGCTCGAGGCTTTTACGAGGATTCACCAACTAGGCAACTTATGACCTGGCGGCGGCTAACGAACGCAATTTGCTTTTTAATTTGACTGCCAGCAGATAATGATCATCCTGCATCAGACCACGTATGTCTCAAAGATAAGGCTCATTGTGACAGTTGACTGCTCATATTCCCGCTCGGGAAGATACCTAAACGGAGTATACCTGCGCGGCAAATTCCCCGCAATAGATTGGAGGATATTTGTCTAGCCCAAAGAGTGTAGACCCTGGTGTGATTTTAGAGTACTTATCACGATGCTAGATGCTTCCACAGTGGATCCCTCGGATTTAGTTAGTCCACTATAGGAATTGGCTCCTCCATGCGCATCCATGTGAACTTCCAATCTACTTTCATCTACTAAAAACGGCTTTTCATTGCAATGCTTTAACCCCTGTCTCTTTTCAAATGAGACATATAGGGTATGTTTCAGTCATTGGAGGAATGGTAGTTCCTCCACACTCCCGTCGGCAATGTTGCTAAAACAAGGAAGAACCGAGGTGAAGGTGATCTAACTACCGTGTCAGTATTGCCTCGTGAGACCATTATAGGGGAACGCACGTCATTACACCATGTGAACAGCTAACCTTGCCACAGCTGCTTGAACCAGGCTCCCCCTGGGTTTTACCAGAAACACCGCGTAGGCACTTGATACCGCGGAAAGGTATCTGAGAAAAACGGATCCGCGTATAGATTCCGGATCGTGCGGAACTATGTAGGGGCCATACGGGTGTTTATGCTCCATACCTCATTTTTTCATTGGGTAGGCAGGTCCAGGCCTTCCCAGACGTAGAGTTGATTATTCGTGAGTAGGTAAACCTGCGAGTGTGTTTGAAATAACTAAAACTTCATACAGCCTTAATATCCGACGCCACGCTCCAGTGGAACAAACCTTGGCATGCCAAGACCCATCTTTAGATGGATCGATCAGCCGTGTGAGAAAAGATGTTGTTAAGTATTGCTTACTTGAGATATGGACACGGCCAAATCATAGATATCAGTCTGCATATCGGTGCCATAGCGTCGATCATCCTTGATGGGTCGATCATGCTCGCACAGATTCATGCTGTGATGAGGTCCACTAGGCAATTTCATCTCCACTGGTTGTCTTACATCGCTTGACAACCGGATGCTGGGGCCCAAAAAGAATGTTTTGCCGAAATTGGACCCAAAGTCGCTTGACTGCCAGAAATTGGAAATTTGTCCACAGGGTTCCGGCTTTCCACCGGGGTCGGCATTTCTATACATCGGAGCTATTTCTCGATCTCTGGTGTATACCTTCCTCCCTTTTATCGCCTCGATCCTAATTTGAGAAATATTGCTCTTGCGATTGCATTGGTTCATGCTAAACTCCATTACTGTACTTTGAATGTTTGCGACTCAAATTTCGGACCCCATGTTATTCTATCTCGAAACAACTAGGGTGGAGAGGAGGTGCATTGAGCTAAGCCTGATCTCCACTGGAGTCTCTGGGCGCAAAATCAGACCCTGATCTCGCTCTTTTGTTCTGACCAGGACTGCAACCATGAGAGTTGGCAGTCTTAATGTTCTGCTGCACCTGCTCAAACAACCCGCTGCAAAGCTTCTCCTGATCGCGGGTTTTGTGTACCTCCTCGCCTTCCAGTACTGTCGAATCCGCTTCTGGCGTGACCCTCACTCGGCCTTTTTCGATATTCGCAATGTGTTCGAGTGGAAATACAGTCTTTTGCGCGAGCATCAAGCTCAGCATTTCACGTCTGTGTACAACGCCCCATCTGACAGCGGGGTCGACGACAAATTTGGCACTGATCACCCCCTAATGTGTGCCGCGCTAGCCACCGTAAAACGCGACAAGGACGATTACTTCGAGGCGACCGTGGGATCTTTGTTAGTTGATCTAGACCCTCGAGAACGACACGCCCTCCACCTATCGGTGCTGTTTGCAAATACCGATCCAACCCAACATCCCAGCTGGGATCAAAGATGGCTGGGGCGGCTAGTGGATTCAGTGTCCACATACAATGTCTCCGAAAAGCAGTTTCACCATTTGCAAGAGTTAGAAGGCCAGCATAACTTCTATGAAAAGGGTGTATAGTATGTTTCCGCTATACGGACAGCTGCTTGAGGATATGTTCTAACATGATTAGCGATTACATCTACCTACTCAACCAATGTCTCGAAACGGGTGCTCCATACATATTTATCCTCGAGGACGATGTCATACTTGCAGACGGCTGGTTTGTTAAAACCATGAACGGTCTACACCAATTGTCCCACGGACCGACTGCTCGCAACAATTCATGGATCTACCTTCGCCTCTTCTACACCGAAACCTCCCTTATGTGGTCGTCCTCGGATTTTTGGTACCGAAACATGCCTCTGGCATTCCTCTTGGTTATGGGATCTGGATGCGCTCTTTTGTTGACCATTCGGCGACACTGGCCTACCACACGTCCCACCCTTAACAATTGGACTATCGCGGCCGTGTGTTTGGTGGTTATTCCCGCATTTACGGGACTGTTATACATGATGGGTAAATACTCCCTGCTTCCTCTGGAAGGTGTAGTGGAGATGAATGGGCCAGGATGTTGCACGCAAGGGCTAGTATTCCCTCGCGAGCAAGTACCGGCCTTGATGGCTCGTCTGCAAGAAAAGAAAAGCGGGCAGACGGATAGCATGATTGAGGAGTATGCTGATCAGACTGGCTTAACGCGGTTGGCGCTAGCTCCACAGCAATTACAGCATGTCGGATTACGATCCAGTCGCGACAACCTTGAGGTCAATACTCAAAGCACCTGGGCTTTCTGGTTTGAGGAGAATGATGCTCGGAAGTTGAAGGCTGAGCATGAACGGCTCCTGGCTGCGAGTGATCATTATTGGCTTTTGGATTGATGCCTTCCATTGGGTGGTGGTTCACTTCCGTGGCATTTTCTATGTAACTAATTAACACAAGCCTTTATGATATTTCACGGACGATACCAACGGCTCGATACTATATGTTTCCGAATTATACCTACGTCAAGTCATAGATGTAGGACATTACCTATGGAGGTTACACTGCAATAAATCAGGCATTTACCACATGGCTACTGTACGCAGGACAGATATAGAAGTATCTGTCATTCTTCCAATACTTTCGCACTAAACCTGGGTCGACTTGTGCTTATATGTTAACGGTGCTTGCATTGGGTTTTCTCTGTGTGATGAAAATGAAATGCGCCCGCCGCATTAACCAGGCCGTCGTTGTTCAGATTGGTGATCAAGTCAGGACTATTTGGATAGTTCAATAACAAAACAAAAAGCAAAAAGTTATTGACCGACGCAGGGGTCGAACCTGCAATCTCTTGATTCGTAGTCAAGCGCCTTGCCATTGGGCCAGCCGGCCTACTTGTTGAAGAACCGAGGAAAATTGTGTCATATATTCCCTAACCGAGTTTAGCCCCACTTTTAGGGCTCCCAGCATAAAGTTAAGACCTATCAAGGGAGGTAATGTCCTTTATAACTCGTAGATTTGACTCGTAGCTGGGAAATTAATATTTATTTTTCCTTTGCGCAGTTTCTTTGTCGTTTCCATTGGAGGTGCATCGCATTGGACTATTTGAAAAAGCAATTACCGCCAATATATATAATGACACTCTCTGGCCTCTGGATATATGTATTTTCTTTTTCCTAACTGTGCTTTTTGCGGCTGAGGGGCTGCGCGATAGGATTGGCAATAGTAATGTATGGCACTGTGATTGATCTATGTGAGCGGCCGGACATATCCAGAGATGGGCTTTTCCTTCTGACAAACACACCAAGAACCTTCGGCGCATGATAGTACCAATATAAAACTAACCCGCCAAGGATCCCAGGAGACATGCAATAAGATAACGACCTTCGTGCGACGTGTGCTCGGATTGCTACTTGAAAAGCACCACCTAGCATCGTTAGGAAGTTGGGCGGCAGACTGCGACAGATCCATCTTGAAGACCATACCTGGATGGATTGTCCTGAATGCCACTATCAGCCTCAATATTACCAGGTCAGAACGAGTAGTCTAAATTTACTAAAAGCGCTTCCCTCCACTCGTATCACTTGCCGAAAGACGGAACACGCCGGTGATCGAGACCCAGGAGAGCTTGTTCGATACCACGTATGTCATTTCATGTTCTACGCTAGGCATGAGTTTAAAAGGACTTCCTCTGTCTGTGGGCAATGATTGCCCGCACCCTGGAGGGAACATCATGATTTCTAGCGCAACTATCTCCGACGAGCTCTGTGTTATACAGGTTGGTAGGATATTCCATAGTATTAGAGATATGCCATCAAAGTCTAAGGAAGAGGACCAAACAACACTTTCTACATTTAATATCGTGCGTAGGGCGATTACTCCGGCTCTAGGAAGACTCTATAATCAGGCCGAATTCTGTTTCTATACCAATGACTATCTCAAACCTTCATGTAATAGGGAAATGCGACTGTTAAGAGCTAACGCTTCTTGGGAGAAACGAGATTAAGCTCCTGTCATCCAAACAGGATACTAACATCGCTCATGTACAGCCTCATTGGAGAATTTACCCTGTCAGCATGATTAACTTCAAATCACACGAAAACAATAACGTTCAATACCAAGAACGATAGGCAATTATAAGCAAACATGTTAGGCTACAGAGTATCTAAAGAGTTCATCCCCTGCCGAGTATTATGCGCATGGATTTTATAGCCATATGATCTCCGTCACAATGTCTACTCCTTGGCGTGTGATATCGGGATTTGCGACATTCTACCTGAACTGTCATATGTATTGACAGCTAATTGTACACATATACCTGGTCTCATTTCATGCTCATATTTGCTTTTCTTTTTTCTCGCAGGATGAGACGTCACGCTGCATCTGAACGTGTGCATTAGCTTCCACTGTGCATATTTCATTCTTAATTCTTTCTCTACAGGCGCCAGTTGGTGAAGCATGACTAGCATGCACCAATATTCATGCAATATATATTGAGATACATGCCTACCGTTATCTGGAGACATGCAAATATATTTTTATTGATCTCTCATTTATTCTAAATTATAACTCAATGAGATAGAAACGTGCATGTAATGTAACACGAGCTCCTACCACACAACTTACAAACGATCGAAAGACGGTGAGTACCTAGACCTTCCGCATGGGGAACAAGCTCGGCTATCCCGCCTGGCGCCAGCCAGCCCGTATGCACACTAAAAAGAGTGGATACAACAAGGAAGAGAAAAGCTCCGGGCGAAGTTCCAGAAGAAGTGAATACCCGGTGTCAAGATGCCACGGTGGACAGACTAAGCGGCGCTATTGAATTCACTAAACAAGGGTCGAACGGTGGGTCCCGTCGATCACCCACCTGGGAGGGGTAATATGAGAAGATTCAATAGTTCCAAGCCGAACCTTCGGCAAAGGCCATTCCGAGCATAACTTTATAAAATTAGTAGTAATGTAACGCCAGTCTGCAGCCGGGCACGCCGTGGATGAAACTTTGGAACCTTGGGAGAGTAATCACTTTGAGATGCAAGGAAAGTTAAAAGAAAATCCTTGCGGGGAATCTTTGTCATATCATAATGTGTTCCTCCGCGTACTCCGAACATTTGAAATCATGATGCATGAGACTCTACCTTGTAATATGGGTGACAGACATGCCGCCTTGGATAGCAATATGCTCTCGGATACATGCCATTGTAGCGTAATAGTTGTCAAATTCATTGCAAAACATAATTCTAGACCAGACCAGAGATGCTCTAGATCTAGCTGCACGTATACAGTGGGCCCCTGGAATACTTGGAGAGTTTCTGGTAATATGGCCAGCAAACATTCCCTCCTTTGCACTTGCCAAGAGTGGGGGGAACGGGGTAAAAAAGCGAAGCCTTGGATAAGGGGAAACGAATTGATGGTTTTCAAGATGGATACCCATACCAAACCCTACTATAGGCACGTTAGGTCAAACTATAATACCTCAAACACAGTAGGTTTGACACCTAAATTTATACGGAGATCTAAACCGCCAATGACATCACACCAGAACGAGTCCCCATCGCGGGAACCCAAACCCGCCCTAAACCGGTGACGGCGAACTCATAATCGATCGACATACGTATGCCTACCCGAACAAGCCCCAACCTGACATGAGACAGGTCACAAACAAACCTTCCCAATCCAGAGTTGACAGCTCCGACTAAAGAAAACCTTCGCCAAGCTAGTAAAAAAGGGAAAAAAAAAAAAATCCACAAAAGCAAAAACAACCACAGCCACACATACAGTAAATGTACCAGCTGAGACAAGTGACAAGTGACAAGTGACACCTTGCGCCCGTGCCTTCAGACGTCATGTCATATTCCTGCCAACGCAGCAAGGCGAGTGGAGTGGCTTAGGCACGTATACACAACACCACAGCGCAGCGAAAGCGTCAGAGGCATCGGATGACATTTCCGCAATACAGTACACCGCTATATGATGGATCGGACGCGGGCATCGATGAGACGATGAAGTGTGCAGCGGGGGGGTTAACGGTCTGCAGTACGAGACATGCAAGTATGTAGATTGTGCAATAACGTCACACGGAGTTCTACTCCGCTCATCGCACATCTCCAAATCTTAAGTCCAAATCGTGCACCCCCCGCCTCGCTAGGGTCGCTAGAACCCTAGGTGCAGGTGCAGATGCAGGACAGGTCAGTTAGGGGATAGATTTATTTTTACTTCCACTGCAATTGTAACTGTGATCAGACACCTTGCATACATGTACACTAGGAAGCTGCATGCTGCACGCTGCACGCTGCACGACTTTTTTTTAATCTTTTCGGTGCAGAGTATGCGAGTTGCAGGCTGAGACTGGCCTGGGGGTGTGTTGACCAGTCGCAGGCGCTGGAAATACCGGGGTTGTGCTCGTGGCTTGCATAACCGCTTCCCCCTGTGTGGGACTTTGGGAGGGAGGGGGGTGAGGGTATTGTGCATTGTGCATGTACATGACCTGGTTTTTAGTCTTCTGGGTGGGTGGGATTTGATTTGATTTGATGGGTGGTTGGGATTTTGCTTTTTAATGGACGGTATATATACATGTATCAGGTTACTTGATTTGACAGATATTGGACTTGGAAATGGATACCGTGTGTCTGTGTGTACAACGTTGATGTGAAACCCCCTGACCATATGTATTCTGCACGGGTTCAAGAAATGATCTCCAATTTTGAGATCACTTATACTTACCAGTTTGAGGTGGGGAGATGAGGGGGATCAAACCCCGTAATTGCAACTTCACCCGGGGAAGGGGCGCGGTTTCCCAATTTACAGACAAAAGGAGAAAATAAAAAAAAAATAAAAAAGGTAAAAAAAAGGAATAGAGCCTGCTCCGTAAAATTGGCAAATTGGACTTCATATTTGGGATCCAATGAAAGCTTCCTGGAATCAGCCGTAGCTTCCGTTGACAGTGACAGGATTCGGGGCATGTCTCGGATCAGGGGGGTGCCGAAAGGAAGAAAAGGATAAAAGGAGGCCCGATTTATATGGTTCAGCGTATCACATCGCTCCGATGGACATTCCAAGGACCACATTAACTTAAGCAAATAAAGTCTAATGTACGAGAGGAGAACCTGTCAAAGGAAGAAAGATAGCCCCGAAAATACCCCGTCGGCAGATCTTTTCGAAAAATCAGATTGTGAAGAGTTCGCGTGAGCTAGAGAATATCTGTTCCACGGTTCACTTGGACTCCCATTGTGGATATGATGGACGTCCGGAAGAGGTGGGAAAGGAAAAAAAGTGGGAGGGTTAGGCTCCAATATGTTCAGACAAGCTGAAGTTTAGGGTGGACTCGCAGCTGTCACTTCACGTCATGTCTATCAGTATTTTATATGCCAAGGCAGGTGGTCCTCGATAATTTTGGACTATTCGACAACCTTAACCGCGCGGACCAAACTAAGCGCTGTCAAATTATCGAAGTTTAGAGTCTGGGACTCGACGTCATGACAGAAAGCAGAGAAAAGAAAAGAAAAGAAAAGGCAATCTCGATCTCCGAGATTTGAATCAATCAGAATAGCCAGAGATGACTAGTTTGTGGGTCGAGACAAAGATGATCATTTTATACACTCAAATCAAATTTGATGGGCACGCATCCGGGAACAGTGAACATCCCGATCCATGGTCCAGTTCCTCCGACATCAACTCAATAATTGGAAATGAGGTTCCCTTCTTCCCTTCTGCCGTGTTAAAGGCTCCATATACACCGACAGTAGCGTAGAAAAGTGGCAGATCACCCCTGTAGCATTAGGTAAAGACAGTCTCTACTCCCGATGTTCGACTCCGTGAAGATCATTAAAGTGGTGCCCCGTGCCGTAAGGTCAAACCCACGTTTCGTATAATGAGACGGATCGTCAAATGCCGACCCAGCTGTGGGACGGAACTGAAGGATCCGCATTAAGGTCAAGTTCGTATTAAAAAATAAAATAAAAAGTTAGAAAAAAGGATAGTCCGTATATTGGGCAACAAATTTCTGTCAAAAGGTCCTCTAAACACCTAGTAAATGCGAATATTCGAAATAAGGTCCCAATAACCAAAGGATTCCCAGTAATTCTCCATACCCTCCCGTTTGATTCCCAACAAAAGTAGTTCCCGCTTGGTATAACGCGACCAGAAAGGGTATCAAAAATGATGTCTGACCAAAGTCTCCGTACCGAACGGCAATGCGACATGTCCAATCTGTGACAGATGTGGATATAAAAGAAATGAAAAGAAAAGAGGCTAAAACATGAGGAGAAAAGGAAAATGCCAGTCTATCCTCAACCCCGTGAGTCGTAAAATGGTAAGGGAGAAACAACCGTCCCAGTCGTAAAATAAACGCTGACGTGGCGAATGCCGTGTAGAAAGAAGAAGTAAAAAAGGCCGTAATCTGTGATCAGTTCAGTGGTGAGGCGAGGCAAGTTGCTCAGAGCCATCAGCATCACTGAACGGAGACTGTCGCGACGAGTCAACATCGCCACTGCGCATTTGATTCCGCAGCGCAGGCAGCTGTCGTCGCCGAGCATTGATAAACCAGTTACTAATCTGCACGCGGAGAACCCATTAGCAACCCTTCCCAACAAAACAAACACAGACCCGCAAGGTCATATCTTACCTGGCTAATCGAAAGACCCGTCCTCGTCATGAACATCTGCTTATCCTCCTCACTAGGATAAGGGTGATCAAGATGCTCATGGAACCAAGCGCGCAGGATATCAGTCACAGGCTTCGGCAGGTTCCCCCGTCTGCGCTTCGTCTTCGGATCAATAGTATCACCCATAATACCAAAATTGGCCTGCTGCCCATGAGCCATCATCTGCGGCGATATCTGCTCCTCGTCGGAGTATCCCATAGCCGGATGCCCATACGGCGACCCGGGATGCATCATCGCTTGCTGGTAATGCTCTGCGCTGCGACGATCAGACAAGGGCACCGCCATGGGCCCGGGCCCGCCAGGCTGGCGATACTCCTGGCCGAAGGGGTCGGAGCGTGGAGGTGGAACTGGACCTCGCTCGGGATATCCTTTGCCACCACTGCCGCTGCTGACAGCACCCTGGGTGTTCATGTTTCGGCCCGGCATGGAGTCCAGGTCGCGGATTGGGGGGAGGATCGGGCTAGGTCCGCGTGTTGAGCTTTCCGATAGCCGCATGTGGTGGCCTGGGTCGGCCATATGGCGTGTGTGGTCGCCGCGGCTGACTGTGTATTCTCGGTGTGCGTCGTAGGGCATTTTTGAGGGGTGCGAGTTGTAGCCTGGGATTGATCGGGGATCGGCCATCTCGTGGCCTGATCCGGGGCGCTCCTGTTGGCGTGGCGGGGTGTAGTATGCAGATGTAGATTCGATTTCATCGTGGAGGTGAGCGGGGAGGAGCTGAATGAAGATTAATATTCAATATCGTCTGATATCTTGTGTTTTAGAAGTTTAGTCTTACCTCGCGGAACGAAGGGAGAGTTTGAGAGCCGGCCGGCGGCTGGCTTGTATACGAAATAGCCATATCGGGATCTTCGTCCTCACGGGACTGTGACATAGAGAGGGAAGAGGGAAAGAGAAGAGAGAAGAGAGAACTATACAAGATTAATGAGACTCATAAGAGAAGGGAGGGGAACATACCAGGGAAATCAGGCTTTTTTACATCAAGGGCTTATATGCAAGGTTGGGGAATCCAAATAATGCAGGGCCCGTACATTTTAAGGAAAAGCAGAGCCAAAATCCAATAATTAAAAATAATGTCCATGGAAAAGCAAGAACAGGGGGGGCCGAAAATGACGATCGTGGTGGGTACAAGTTCCGAGGCATGCATAGAGGTTCCTTAGTTGACAGAAGTCTCTTTTCCTGTCAGTCTAGGCGATCTTCTCCCCGGGATTTGGTTTGGGAATTTACTCTAAAATTGGGGTTTTTCAGTTTGAAACTCACATAAAACGCATCAAACATAAAACGAGATAAAACAATATAACATATCAAACACATACATAAGGAAGTATACCTCCCAACTAGAAAGACACAGTAAAGGTGGAAAAGATCGCCGAGTCCAAGTCCGAGGATGACGCTTCTCGATCGCAGATGGCCCGGAGCCTCTCATCGGGCACGGAGATCGATCGACCAAAGAGAAGCGAGAGAGGGGAGAATCCATGGCGGCCCATGGACAGGGATGGGCAGATCGCCTAGGGGTTCTTCACTCTCTCCACTCAAGTGGCGTTCCTTTTTTTGCTTTTTTGCTTTTCTTTTTCTTTTCCTTTTTACCTTTTTCTTTTTCTTTTTCTATTTTCTATTTCCTATTTTCTATTTTTCCTTCTTTTTGTTCTGTTCCTTTGGATCTGATCACAAACTATCCTATCTTGCTTTTTCCCTCTGCATGTGGCTTAGCCTGCATATGATATCTGAAGTACGGTGCAGATGGACACTGGATCTGAAGTGACTTGACTCTGCGCTAATGAGATCACTAAACACTAGGCCACACCCTAGGAACTAGTCACAACCTGACAATTCAATAATGGCGCAGTCGGAGATCCTAAGTGGACCCGTGTCGATGCAAGCTGAACAAGACTGTGATTCAAGCCAATCAGGCCAACGGAACAATGGAGTCGCTCTGACAGGATCCCGTGGAAGATACCTCTATTGGTCTCATCCTCCGTCTTAATCCATACATGTAGACACATTAATATTGAAAGAGGACTGGTTCACTTTGTAAAATTGCAACATCTATTATTGGTATAGCATTAATCTGACACCTATTGCCCGACCCTCAGTTGCCGTGACGTTTCGGAGACTGTCCGCCCGCCCCCAAGTGCCATCCCAAGGACCCAGGGCTCAAGGTTTAATGGCCAATTTGTCTCAACAGGGTAGTCAGCCCCGGGGGATTCTCAGATCTCCCCTTTTTGGAGAAATTAATTTATTTCCTATCCGTGGAACTCGGACCCAGCAAGCTGGTTCCCCCTGATTCGCCCTCCCAGATCTGATCTCAATTTGACACTAACCTGTCTAAAATAGTGTTACCTCAGGTCTGTCTATCCACATAGTCACAGGCCACACAGGCCACAAAAGCAAAGAGGCCAAATAAATATATTAATAATACAGTAGTATGTTAATCTACTTCTAGAACACATTCGCCCCCAAAGCACAAGTACAGTAATTGGAATTCAACCCGATCGTCATACATGCCATGCCCCAGTTTGGGCCCATTCTCAAGATCCGAGATCGTGCATAAAATGGAGGGATGCAGATCATCAGATCTCGCAGAAAAGAACTGCGATCGGCCCTCGAAGTGACTGGTCCAAAAGGGCAATGTTTGGGGAAATTTGGAGAATGGGGCTAGGGTTGGACTTATACGGAACAATTGATCTAGAACTGCGGAATACGTCGCCTCATGCACGATATTTGTCACGTCCCGGTACGTGGGAAACATGTCGGGAATATCCGTATGAATATTCATTTATTTCATTTATTCTCCCCATTTTTGAGTGTTTTGGGTAACCTTATTTTTTCCTGACATTTGAGCTTCTTTGTCTTACCGTACCTATAATTGTTGACCTGCCCTTTGCCAAGATTCCGTCTAGAATCAATAGTCTCCTTTCAATTCCATTTTACTGTACAGTGTTACCACAATCTCCTTCTTTCGGCCTTTGAATGCCTCCCGGTTTCTTCACCTTCTGCCCAAATGTCATGTCACTCTATCACCGGGGGAACCCCAAAGCCCAGAGAGCCAAGGTAGGGATGGAATCAAACTACATATACATGCAAACCCCGCCATGCACAAGGAACAGTACCATTGTACTGTCCCTCTAGCAAACCCTGTCGCGCATCGCATCTTCGTTATGTAGTATCACAGCAGCAAGCAAGGCAAGCGAGACACTCACAAAAAAAAAAAATGGTACAGCTGCATTGCAATCTCAACCAATCCAGCCCCCGCCGCATGTCCAATTTCCAGTTTCCTGGTTCTGCATCCTCGATAGGTCGGTGGAGCTCGCAGCCGGGCACGAAAATCTAGATAATCTGATTTGACTTCTTGTTTGCCTTTTTCCTCCTGACAGGGTATCCTGGCGTTCATCTCGTGGCATGAACGGTAGTTCATGCGCAACTCATGTAAGGCAACCAATCCGTCGCTAGGAATGGAGGGTGATATTTATGGCTGGGGTTGTTATTGGTTCGATGGGTTGTTATTTATTTATGCTTTCTTTTTTTTTCTTTTTTGTATACATGTATGCGCTGTACGCTGGACGTATGACGTGGGTGTTAGCTCTCCTGCTATTTGGGGTTAGACTGCGTCCGTGGAGTATATAGGTGCATATAGACTCTCAGGGGACCAGACAGCGTGGAAATGATTTGTGACTTGTGCGATGGTCCAGCGAATAGTCCAATGGAATGCCACGCGACTCGAGAGGCTGTTTCTTTGTCTTTGATGCCTAAACCCTAAAGCCGATGCGCGTCGTCAGGAAGTGGTCTTTGTTTCTTTTCAATTGGCTGCATATTGCAGATGTCACCTTGCTATCGAGGCCAAGATGTGGCTACAGTATCTGTAACGTCAGGATGGTACCCGTGCCCTGCTACTGCATGTTTATATGTGATCGACGTGACGGAATGTTTAGCCTAGCGTCCCCTGTAGAAGTGGCCACTGTCATGGTGTCTGTAGGTAGGCGGTGGCCTGTCATATTTGCTAGAATATTTATACCGTGAAATATCAGCTGGATCTACGCCTTTCCCGAGGCGTGATCTATTTTTTATTGCTTATTCCAAGCAGTCGACGAACGAAATCCTCTCTCTTTTTTATTGCTCTCTTTTTAGATCTTTCTTTTAGCCTCCTTTTTTAGCCTCTTTATATCTTTTTTGAAGATCTATCATAGCCAAAAAAGGACAATCCTTACATAGCTTCGTTACAAGGACCCTGATATGCCAACCTCAATTGATTTTAACCCATGGATGTTAAGAATGCTGCATTCATGGTTAATATGGTATATAGTAGCATGTAGAAATAATGCAGTCCCATTGTAAAATATGTTATATCACTCGAAGTAGATAAGAATAAGCAATCCTCAACCGTCAACCATGAAACGCCCTCTCTCATGATAAGAATAAAGAATGACAACGCAACGAAATAAATAGCAAAGAATAAGAATAACCCATAACCTCCGGTAAATAGCAATACCGCCCTCCATGGTATATGCATCCCTGCGCGTTGGAATAGATTCAAGCATCTAAGACCGCGCCGCCGAGTCAAGAGCGTTTTCATCGATGACTAACGGCGAGCCTCCATCGTCGCCGACTTCATCACTACTATCCAGGGTGAAAAAGAGAGGAGAACCCGCACGCCTGTCATTCGACTGAGAACTGGGAGCTGACCTGTTTGATGGGTGTGGACGAGGGGTGACGACACCCGTCGTGGTCATACGGAACACCTTCCCAGCCTCGTCACTCAGTCGAGGCCTGCGAACAACTTGATCACTTGAACCCTCGCTAGGCCGTTTCTTGCCTTTGTCCGTATTCTTGAAGGAGTTGGCCGCAGGAGGTGCCTTGTCAGTGGTGACAGGCTTTTTCGCCTTGTCCGACCTCAACGGGTCTGTTACTCTCCTAAACACAGCTAGGTCTGGGTTCTCTCCTGATTGAACGAATTGGATGAAGCTTGCGTATGCGATCTCCATCAGATCCGTACTGTCGAAGTCAGGATCGATGCTCGTGAGGAAAGTGGCGAATCCGGGCATGTTGATGGCCTGCATGAATTGCGGCAGTTGCTGCTTGGGTCCTAAGCCCGACCTCTGGGTCATCTTCAATTGGAAGATAGCCTGTTGAAACTGGCGCACGAACTCCAGGGCAGTGATTTCCGAGGGGTCATATTTCAGCTTGGTCCATTCGGACCAGCATCGTGAACCAGACATCAGTTTCTTCTCCGCAAACTGAGCCTCTAGCTTTTGGTAGGCCTCGTGGGTGTCGTAGATGTCTTTGACATGAGAGGCAGGTTCATCAGCCAGCGTTGAACCTAGATAAGCGCGGACCCGATAGCTGTCAGCCTTCCAGGCGGCGATGCGGGCCTTCTGCTTTGCTTGGTCCACTTTTGTCACCCCTTCGCCTGTCAGTGGAACGGGGCAACGGTATCTCCCAGTGAGGATTTCGAGGTAAACCGGCCTGATGTCTTTGAGGATCACGAAAAGACGTTCGGACCAGGACATCCAGTTCGATTTTCCCTTGAGCCTGGGCACAGAGCGGTTCAGCCGAAGCTGATCAGCAGCTCCCATAATTGCAAGGATATCGTCGATGTTTGTTGGTGGATAAAGCTGAGCAAGGATCGCGCAAAACTTCTTCCAGGATGCAATATCAGTATCGCTCATTGCGGGACCACATGTGGAGTAGAGCCGACTACTTGCAGTGAGACCTTAACCGTTGATAGCCACTGACGGGGCTTTTGGACACTCTTTTGGTCTCTTGCGGTGTCTTTTCGATGCCACCGAAAACAAGACAATTCCTGTAATGAGGGAAGATTAGTAAAATCCATGAGAAGGATGTAATTAGAAGCTGAATCGGCTCACGCGGACGGTAAAT